AAACTTGAATAATTCAAGTCCCGATGGCCAAGACACCGGTTATTTATCGCACATCGCAAGCGACAAACGAGAGCCCAGTCTGTTCATCATATGTAACTTCCTGTCATGACATCGATCTCCAATTCTTACTTTAATTCCCCATCAGTAACAATAAATATGAATCGATAAATGCGCCAAAAAACTCACCGGAATTATTACTTCCACCAACCGAGGAAGTGACGAGGTTCAGGACAAAACAAAACGCGCCAAAAACGACAACCAAGTGTCGCGTTTGCAGAAACATTTTTTTTATTGTTCTGTTTTCTTTTGGTTATTTTTTATTTATTTAAGAAGTTCAGACCAAGTCTCGAATTTTGGATTTTTCAGGAGCATGTTTAATATTTTTTTTTCCTGGATGATCTGTGAATAAAAATGGGATGATGAGACACTTTTCGTGGCAGATGATTGTGCTGTTTTTTTCTCGATTTTTATTTTCTATATTCTGAGCGAGTCTCGACTTTTGGATTTTTTCAGGAGCATGTTAAATTAATAAACTTTTTCTCGATGATCTGTGAATAAAAATGGGATGAATGAGGCGTGACACTCTATTTTTTTTGGCAGATGATGGTGTGCCTAAAAAAAGACGGGGAAAGAACTTAAGCACAGACAGCCACCTCTCTCGTTCTTCGCCTGACTTGCAGCTGCTGACGCTGTCGCTGCAGCTGCGGATCTGGGGCGGAGCCCGAGGTGGAAGGTCTTGCTCTTTCTAGCTCCTCCCAGAAGAACATCTTCTTTCCAGAGGTCCAGAGAGTTAAGGACGGGCGTATATATATATATATATATTCGAGACGAGGAAGAGCAGTTGAATAACAAGCAGAAGAAGGAGGAGCAGCTGTAAGAGAACCGATAAACTCCCTCCTTTAACTTACTAGGTGCTTTGGTGGGGAAGGAAGGAAGGAAGGAGAAAGGATTCCAATGGTGATGGTCAGTGTTGTGGTCATCAGGCCTTTTTTTGTTGTTGTTGAGAAAATTATCTCTTTTTCTTGTGCTTTCGGCTTGTGTCTGAGGAGATTGATTCTCAGAGCAAGATGTGAAGAGAGTCTTTCTAAATTCTTGGACGTTGGTGAAAAAAAAGAGAAAGAAAAGTTTAATGCTCGGGCTTTGAATCGGAGAGTAGAGGAATTAAATGTAGGGAAGATTAGTTTTGCTGATAAATACAACCTGAGATTATCATTGATTCTAGTACTGTACAGTACTGAGTTCGTGATGGTGTTTGAGGTAATGAGAAAGGATTCCAACGGTGATGGTCAGGGTTGTGATGGACATCAGACCTTTTATTTTTCGTGAGAAAATTATTTTTGCTGGAATGTTTTCGTCCGCTTTTGGTTTCTCTGTGACGATTTATTTTCAGAGGATGGCTTAGGAATATGTTCAAATTCAGATAAATAACCTCAAAGTCCTGCAGTGTGTGGTTTCTAAATGTAATTTGCTTAAAATTAGGTAAAAGAAATATTATTGATGAATCCAGCAATTTATGTACTGTGTATCATGGATTCTATATATTACAGAATTTCATGAAGGTGCTCAATCTGCTTATGAATTATTTTCTCAATAGTATTTTCTTATGATTTACCTTGGATTATTGTTTTTTAGGACAAAGTCAACCTTTCTATAATGCATGTTGGGAATTTACCTAATAAGTTTAGCATCCTTGAATGGAAACTTTTTTCATGTTCATAATCATAAGATTCGCACAAGTGATGTTGGATTAAATTTTCATTGAATAAAAAAGGATTAGGATTGCATCTCAATTTAAAATGAATGCAGATTTCAAGATTCAAAATTTATAATATTCCTTGAAACTACTAATGATGATTTTTCATTGACAGCTATAACATATGAGGTAACTTCACAAGCAATATTATGAGTTCTAAAAAATCTTTGAAGTATTCCTTAAAAATCATGGAGATAAAAATTTAGAATTTTTCAGAAAATTCTGACCCCATTTCAAGAAGTCAGCACTTCAAAAAATAAAAGATGGATTTGGCTCTGTGAAAGTGCAGTATAATTAATTACTTCAAAAAAGCTGTTCTTCTTATGAATCTTTAATCCTGCACATGTTTGATTTTTTTCTTTCAATTATCATATCCCTATGGCCCATTCACAGAATTGGGGAACACATGGTTCCCACATGAAGAAACTGCTGGAACCCAGGAATAAATTCAGTGTACAAAACTTTTTTTGCTGGAATTCCAATATCTAATGAAAAATGTAGCCACCAGACTGTGTCACAAGCATACTTTCTTCCCTTCCAGCAAAATCCTGTCAAGCAAAATAGAATGCTTTCAAATAAAAACGTAACTCAAGAAACAATTACAAAAATCACACACCATCCAAACATAGCCACAATCAACGCNAGACTGTGTCACAAGCATACTTTCTTCCCTTCCAGCAAAATCCTGTCAAGCAAAATAGAATGCTTTCAAATAAAAACGTAACTCAAGAAACAATTACAAAAATCACACACCATCCAAACATAGCCACAATCAACGCATTTGATCATTTTGCTGTTTGAAAACACAAAGTCGAAAGCTGCCAAAGCACAAAATTTGATTTTGGTAACACTGGATCATGCACTGAATGGATGGTAGACTGAAGGTTGTTGTTGTTGTTGTTGTTGAGGTTGACATCTGACATTGTACCACCAGTCACAGACCAGGTACTTGTCATTGAACACTGTGCCATTGGGGCAGAGGAAAGAGAACCCAGCTGGCGAAGAACCATCATGGAAGCACAGATGAAAGCCCTGCGATGGAAATCAATCAAAGCATCAATTTAATTTTTCTGGCAGCAGTCAGGCATCAAAATATTCATATAAGTTATCCCTTGCTCAAAAAGGAGCGCCAAACAATTTTCTGAATATTTTTTAAATTGAAAAACAAAATACGAGATGGTTTGAGAAATGCAATGGGTGACTGATTCCCATGTAAAATCTGATGGGTGTTCAAATTTTCAATATTGAATTAGTTCTCATTTTTCACATTTTTGATGCATCATCTTTCTACTTCAAAACATCTTTCAACTTTCATCAATTCAAGCATTCCTCATCTGTCAATTTTTGCTTGTCTTACTCAGACTTGGAAATGGAGCTTATGGATTTTCAATGCTATATTGTAATGCCAAAATTTTATTCAAGTTTTCTTCATATTTTGTTGCACTGATGTCTTATATAGCAGAAAAAATATAGAAAAGGCCCCTTTAAAATTATACACAGCAGGTGGGATTTTACCCTGAAAAGGTATAAAAGTGCAAGATGATATGGAAAAATCTCCAACATTATTAAATTTTCTAAGATAGATAAAAAATGGCTCTCAAAAGATTTTAATGTCAGGAGTTTTGCCTACTTTTACACTACTTGCTTTGCAAACATTTCAAGTGATGTCTTGCTGAAATTCGCACATTTTTGCCTGAAAAAAATTGTCTGTTTAAGTCATCCTTCAAGTGAAATATATGTTTGCAACATCTTCATAAAAAAGGGAATTTTTGAGGCAAAGACCCACTGCACTATATTTAAAAACATATATCCTTTGGGCGCTCTCTTGGATCTTGGTCAATTTTCTGAACTAATAATTCAGAATTATGCATGGTGTTGAACACTGTTGAGAGGCTGAGATTCAAAAGCCATAAGTACCGTATTTACTTGAGTACCACGCGCCCTTCAGTAAGGCACTCACAGGGATTTTTCAGTTGGAAATTTGGCTAAAATCTTATCCCCAAGTATGACTTTTACCCCAATTTTTAGTAAATATAAAACCACAAAATATCGAGAATAGACACAAAAAGTTTGACTTTAGATGTGAATTTAACAAAAATCTGACAAATTTTAAACTATTTCAGTACAAAAAAGTTTTCTTGTCACTTTTTTTTTACAAATTTGTCCATTATGATTAAGTATAATGCACATAGAACTTTCTCAAACTTCTTGAAAAATTTTTACCCTCTTATGACGCGCACCCCTTTTTTTCTTCTGAAATTTGAGAAAAAAGGTGCGTGTGGTACTTGAGTAAATACGGTAATCTTGGATACTCACAATAAAAACATAATTTCAGTACAAACCTGGCAGCCTGTGGAAGGATCTGCATGGTAACTGAAACCACTAGTCTCAGAGTATTCATCTCCTGGCCCTGTTCTGAGATATTGATCTCTAGCTGGGCAACTGAATCCAGTTTCAGGAAAATATTCATTTATGGGATAGTCCACACCAGCCCTTCCCGGAATGCCAAGAAACACTTCTCCTGAGGTCAGCAATGAGACCTTCAGGGAGTCTTTGGTATCACTGCTGCTGGTTTCACCATAATCAGTGTAATCCAAGTTTGGTCTCCTTAACTGTCCTGAAGTTCCTCTCAAAGGTTCATTCTGGTTTGCATTGTAGTTATTCTGTATGTTCTGTTGATACTTGCTCACATATGGATTGGTAGTTGGTCTGCTGATGTATGGTGCAATAGTTGTGGGTGTTGGTTGGGGGTATGATTCCACATGATTGTTTCTGGTTTCTTCATAGACTTTGCCTTTTTGGTGATGCACAACCACAGTGTCTTCAGTTTGATGGTTCACTACTTGAACAGGAGACTGGTCCACTTGTCTGAAATTTGAACTTGGAAAGGGACGTTTGGATGACTGTTGGTGGGAATTTGACAGAGGTTGTTGCTTTGCTTCAACCAAGTATCTTCCTGGATTTGAAAGAGGATGCTGTTTGGCATCACCAACAGTGAATTTCACTGCTGTTTTTGAGGGGGCATTTTGATGTGACCAGTCTACCCCTGCCTGGGTCAACTCTGGTTGAAAGTATGGTTTAGAAAAAGGTGAGTCCACTGGGTTCTTTTCATCAAGTGTGTTCTCCTGAAGGTGATAGTCAGGGGTTGGAGCAAGGACTACCTGAAGTGGCTCAACATAGCTGATGCTCAGCTCTGGACGCTGTCTTGAACCTTCTTGTGGATGTTGGTGAAGTTTGTTGGTCTCCAATGGTGGTCTTGGTGGTGGACCCTGGTTTCTCACATGCTGGGGTGCATGATGTTGAAATGAATTCCTCAATGGTTCCTCAGCAAACTGTGGTCTTTCATGATGAAGATTGTCATTTGATTGCTGCTGTTGATGGAAATGATGTTTTGGCAACTCATGGGGATACTGTTGACCATGCTGAGGGATTTGGTGTTCATGCTCTGGTTCCCTGATGGTATTCTGAGATAATGGTTGAAGATGGAATTTTGTTCCAAAAACATCTCTGGTGTTTTCTTTCTGCGCATGTTTTTGTACGTTCTGGAATAGTTGTTGGGGCAGATGCAGGTTTTGATTCTGAAACTGCAACTTATACTCTTGAGGATGCTGCTTATGGTAGGTGACCTTTGATTGCTTTGGCACTGGAAAAACTGGTGCAGCTGGATGGGATCCATCAGCTATAGGCTTTTGCAAAAAGTTCCTGACTGGTGTCACCACCATAGGATGCCATTCATTATCTGATGTCCATGGTGATGGGGGAGGGCGCAGAATCTGAAGAGGAAAAAAACATTCATCAAAAGCAATTCACTTAACCCAGCATACACTTATGTAGTATTGAACCCTTTTTGCAGCAAAGTGGGGATATTTTTTCCAAAATGTTGTGCCCATGAGCACTGAAAATTTGAAAAAATTTCATATACCAAGGCTTGGGTTGGGAAAATGTCTGATATTTCTTTTTAATCCAGCAGAAAATGTTGCCTCCAAAATAATGTAAAATTATTTCTCACTGGGGTATGTTTTTTTCCTGCATTCCTAGCGTAGGAGATTGATGGAGATTTTGGACAACAAAAGGATTCACTTGTCCCACATTTTTTATCATTTGGGCATTCTTGACCCAGGCACATTTTAGTGACCTTGGGTCAAACTGGAATGAGCCAATGGGCAAACAAAATCATGACTTTGCCACAAAATGGAAAGAAGGCTGTTGCCATCCACCTATAATTATTGACAACTTGGACAGAAAATTGAAATTTTTAGCAAATAATTACTTCAGTTTCCTCAACACTTTGCACATGATCTGCATGCATAGTGAACTTTAAAATTCAGTAGTTTTTTTATCCATACATATACTGAACAAGGAATCAATCCTAGCTTTCAAAGAAATGGAGTTTAAAGCCCCAGGCACATCTTTAGAATTTTACATTTGGTTGACATTACCTGAGAAGGTGGTTGATGAGCAGATGGTCTCCCTTGATGGTGGATAGCTGGTGATGGATACTGAGAAGGTAGTGGAGGAGGATGCGGATGAGGAGATGAAGGATGTGGACGTGGTGGAGGAGGATGTGGATGATGAGAAGCAGGATGTGGATGAGGTGGAGGAAGAGGATGTGGATGAGGAGATGGAGGATGTGGATGAGGAGATGGAGGATGTGGATGAGAAGATGGAGGATGTTGATGAGGAGATGGAGGATGTGGATGAGAAGATGGAGGATGTGGATGAGGAGATGGAGGATGTGGATGAGGTGGGGGAGGAGGATGGAGCATAGTTTGCAGTGGTGGTAGCTGAACAGGTATTATTCTGAAGTTTGGTGTCCTCTGAGGAGGAGGAGGAAGTTGAGGTTGCTGATATTGAGTTATAGGTGGAAGCAGAGGTCTTGATGGTGTCACTGGTGATGTTTGTGGTGGTGGTGGTGGTGGAAGTAGTGGTGGTGGAGGAGAAGAAGATTGATAAGAAGATGGAGGGCGTTTATGATGTTGGAATGGAGGTCTCTGCTGTGGCACAGAAGGCACTTGCCAGTCAGCATCATACTGAATTGGTGGCCTTGTTTTTGGAACTCTGGTAACTGTTGGTCTGAGTACCAGAGGAGGATGGTGAGTGGTTGGTGGTAGCAACACAGGCACTGGCAGCTTCCACTCATCCACAATTTGCTTATCTTCTTCCTCTTCATTCTGCTTCTCATCAACCAAAGGCTTTTCTTGCTGTTTGTCTATGCTCTGGTGACGCATCCTGAGGACCTTGCAAACCACCTTGCCATCTTTGATCTTCAGACACTTCCTCCCACGATTTTTATCCTCATCAATGGCATTTTTTACAGAGATGACACTGCTGGGCTCTTTTCTCCTGGGTGGAAGGGGTGTTGTAGGGATAGTGTTTGTTTTAGTAGTGATGATAGTTCTCTGAGGCTTGGTGTCTCCCTGAACGTAGTGACCTCTAGGTCTGATGATACTGTTGTGAACACGTTTGTCGCGTTTTTGCTGCTCCTGCTTTGGCAAGCCATTGGTTGTTTTTGTTGTTGATGATGTCTTATTCAAGTGAAGATTATTGGAATGCATCTTGGGTTTTTGAGCAAGTTTGAGGCTTTTGCCGCTCCTCAGTATTTTTGCCCTCTGGGAGACCAGAGCAGTGTTTTTCGTGACAGCTTTGCTGACGCGCGTGAAGGTGTCGCTGTCATCCGGGATAAAATTCTCGTCTGTACCGTGTTGTTTTGCCAGCTCTTCCTCGTACAGTTTTCCCACTTGTTCTGCAATCTTTCTTTGCAATTCTGCATCTGCTTCCTCTTCAGATGAAATTTTTTGAGTTATTGGAGTGGGTGTAGTAGTGGTCGTACTTGAGGTTGATGTTATTGTTGTTGTTGTCCGTGTTGTCTTGAGTTTTGGAGTTGAAGGAATGATGGTTTCACTAGTATCTTCAGCTTTTTTCCTTTTTCCAAAGACCCGAGTTCTGTTGGAATTCTTTGAAAAAATATCGATAAAACATCTTTCAATCGGAAAATTTAGAAGCGCTACACATGTCCTCATGGGCACTTATATCATGAGATATGAACGATGCCAAATACAAAATATACATCATGGGATGGTTCAAAAGTGTCATTTTTCTGTTTAAAATTTGTCAATTTAATGAAACCTTCATATTAAAAATTTCATGCATAATGTACAGTAAATTTAACTTCAACCAATTGGTGGACAGTGATTATGAAATATAAAATATTTTTATGCATCCCCATTCCTTTTATGTACTGTACATGATTCCAATTTTTGAAAAGCAAAGAAACACAACTTTTGAACCAACCCTTTGTGCCCTAAAATCTTTGAAATTTAGAAAACCCACTCTGTAAAATTGTAAATTTTACATCTGATTGCTGGGTTTTCTAAATTTAATTTGTGCATGGTACATATACTGTACAATACAAGGTACTATAGTGACCAAACCTCATTTTGTGTATTTTGATCAGAAGTGCCAAGTTTCTTCCATCCAAGCTTGTGACAGGTGGGGTCATGTACACAATTCCTGTTGATAAGTTATACATTCCCAAATGAATAAAATGAACGTGTGCTGCTAAAAACTAAAACCATTTGTAAAAAAGCATGTATACTTTGGTGAGTCCAAAAACAACAGAATCATCTTTCCTGCACAATTCCTATCCGAGAAAAAGGTCTAGCATTTTGAGATATATTTCAAAGTCGATGAAGGAAAACTTTTTGTGTCACTTTCTCATGACTTTTGAAGATTTGAATTCATTATACCTCTCAAAAGGAAATAAACTGGTCTGAATGGATATGGAAATGTTGCCTTTGTATATGCGGCTATTTTTAAAATTGTTATTGAACCCACCAGCCTCAATTACAATGCTTCCAAATTCCACGGGTTTTTTTGCGCTTGTCAAACTAAGCATGCTACTATACATCATATAAGCACGTGCACAGCCTTGTTTACCTTGAAGGAGAATGTTTTGTGATGCGTAATGACACCTGGCGGCCGCGTTTGACTCGTTCCATCAAACTTGCTCACGATTGCGCTAGGTGTCGCTGAAGTCTCAGGTTCCATCGCAGAGGCGTTTACTACATAAACCGGTGCTGGGGGCTTCCACAAAGTCGTCCCCGATAATGAGCTGCTGGTCCTCGACGTCGTCGTACTTACAGTTTTATTCCCCAGTCGAACAACAATCCGTTCCGCTGTGTCTTGGTCAGGCTTTCGAAGTTTCTCTGTTCAAGGGAAAGGAGACGATGAAAAATCAAACAACGGGCCAACATTATTTAATTCAGTTGGACACCAAGACAATCATCAGAAACCGCGGTTTTCTTGTCATAAACGAGGAAGTGGATAATTTTCCCACCGCGGGACATTTTTCCCGCACATTTTCGCCGGTGGACATCAAAAGGCCCGAAGGCAGAAACGCATCAGGAAGTAAAAGCGAATTTTTCTTTCAGTCTCCCACAGACAAAAAAATTTACATTGTTCAAAGCTAAGTCCGTGACTTGGTGCACTTCCGCATTTTTTACATGTCGCTCTGGGGGGTTTAAGCCTGCTAAGCTGAACCCCTGTGAACCTCGAAATTTTTTAGACCGGGCTGTAGTGAACAATAACTTGACTTACGGACATTTTCCCGAAATTTCTGGAAATATTTTATTATATTAGTTTTCAACATTTTCATATTTGTTGTGAATTGAGTTATTTACAGATAAAATACTAAAAATAAAGTTCAGCTTGAAAGTACCCAAATTCATAATTTAAAACAAGCTAATTTTGACTAATTTTTTAAAAATTTATTTGATCGTTCTTTTTCTGTGCTTCTTCATTTTATTTTTATGTCAAAAAATTAGATTCTGTGTGGTTTTCTTCTGTACATTTAGTTTCTCTATACCTTTAAGTTCATAAAAATTATTGTACTTCTTCTTTTTTGGAGAATATTTTAAGGTAACTAAAAATTGACTGAAGGGCATGATTTTTTGACTTGGAAAAACAGTTTTGTGTGAATAAAACTTGATTTTTACAATCGATTGTTGCAACCACTGCTTATTTATTTTGGTGATGAGCGTTCGCATTTTTTCTTCTTGGTCCCTTTAAAATGTGGAATTATTCATGACTATATGCGTTATTGTTTTTCATCTTTCACCAAAAGCATCTTTAAATTCCGGCTGCTTTTCGCGAAAATTAGGGCGATTTTCTTCGTTCAAGTTCAATGACGGAAAGAAAAACCGTCGGTTTCCAGATGCTGGGAAAGTCCTTTTTGCGGATTTCGCGGTTCCTGTGTATAGCTGAAAAATGCTGGAGTCCGAGGCATCAAATTGAGCGTGAAGCTGGAAGAAAAATGTTCCCAGGATTTACCGTATTATTATTTTTTTATTTTTTATTTTTTAGTAATGACCACAAGGAGGATAAAACTTTGATGAATCTTCTCCCGCAGATTTTCCATTGTGCATATAGAAGGCAAAATGGACCATCACTGGAAAAAAGATGTATTTCTCTTAATTGTCGGGAAAATACTGGAGAAATGCGCTCAGATTGGGTTTTGCGGTGACACTGAGGGTTCATAAAATGGCAAACGTTTTTGGCCGAGATGAAAAGAGAGATATATGGGACACCCTGTTAACAAGCACTTGAGTTTCGTCCATAAAGACACACTTTTCCACACATTTTCACTGACACGTTTTTTTTCATCTGTGAGAATCAGAGTATAGAGAAAATTTCAGTCACCAATGAAATTAAAGTCTAATTTTTCATTATTCTTATATGGAAAAGTAGGGTTTGGTTTTCATTTGATACTATTATCCTAAGTTGACAGAATTGCTCAAAATAAATACAAATACATTGAATGTCTTCTTTGCATCAAAGCAATTTACTTTGTTCTGATAGTTAGGATGTTGAGAAGTAATTAATTCTTATGGCCAGGGTGCCATGAAATGATAATACCGTATTTACTCAAGTACCACGCGCCCTCAAGTAAGGCGTGCACAGGGTTTTTTCAGTTGGAAATTTGGCTAAAATCTTATCCCCAAGTATGACTCACACCCCCAAATTTTAGTAAATCTAAAACCACAACATTTCAAAAATAGAAACAAAAAGTTTGACTTTAGACATGAATTTAACAAAAATCTAACCAATTTTCAATTTTTTCAGTACAAAAAAGTTTTCTTGTCACTTTTTTCTGAATTTCTCTATTATGATCAAGTATAATGCACATAGAACTTTCTCAAACTTCTTGAAAAATTTGTACCCTCTTATGACGCGCACCCCTTTTTTTCTTCTGAAATTCAAGAAAGAAGGTGCGCGTGGTACTCAAGTAAATACGGTATATCTTGTTTAGCAAGTGAAAATACTGTAATTACATTTCCCAAATCCAATGTATTCATTGAATTCAATGAAGAGACCCTTTCTGAAATCATAAAGGATCAAGACAAACTGTTTGCCTTATATGATTTCTCATCAAAGATTCTCTCTAAATTTTTCATTCAACTAAAACCTTATCTGGGAACAGGCTGAAGATTGACCTTGTGCTTTAAATTGGGTTCAGTAACTGCTGCAATTGCTATAATTCTGGCTTATGCTGCAATTCTTTTTACTGGTATTTTGTTTTCAATGTCTGGGAAATAAACGGTGTATGCATACTCATTAGTGTTGTGCAGTTGTATATTGTGGACTGTATTTTCTTTTATTTTTTTTATCCATATACAGCTTTTTTCTCTGTTTCCCATTCAGAAGTGATTGAATGTATTTGAATGGGTTTGAGTTGGGTGTGGAGGGTGTTTGGATTTGGGAATGTTTATCAAACTTTGTGAATGCTGAAAAGTTGAAAATAAAGCTTTCTGTTCATGCATTCATCCAATGTATGCAAGTAAGACCAGGCCAACAATCAATACCAGACAAGTATTCAGACACTCCTTTATAGGCTCCTAGTCTCAGACAACAAAGGTACATGACCACACATAAACTTGAATGGAACTGGGATGGTCAAGAGACAATTCACTGGTAACCAGACAAGATCAGCTAATCAAGACTATTTCTAACTGGACTTGCAAATGTACATCAGGAGAATACCACAAAACAAACAAGGTATTCTAAACATATTACAGGACACACTTGAATCTTGTGATGGCAATACAAATGTCAAATGTTGTTGGCATTTGTCTAGCTCAAAGGAATAAAAAACAGATATTTGACTACTGTAGTTGATTTTTGTTGTTGTTCTGAGTGGTCTGTGCTGCATTCTTCTGATTTCTGTTTATTTTTGTTGATTGGTTCATACTGGAGAACCATTGGAAGTGAAAAAAATTCCAGGATTCAAGAATAAATTGATAAATAAATTTATTCTTGAAAAAATGATGATTTTTAAATTTTTCTTTGTCCCAAAAAGTTATTTTTACCAAGATTTCACTTTAGAATTTATTTTTGGAATATTCAGGAATTCTTTTTTTAACCAGTCCATTTTTATGTTTCACCCTGTAGTAAGGATGTAACGTCTGGTTTTCTCCATCGTTTTACCCTCGATCACGTGTAATTCAACTTCACGTCATTTTCCATTCTTTCTCCTAGTAATTTTGTATAACTTTTGAAAGTAGCAGCATCAAAGTTGTCGCAATGAAAAATAACTCTGCTTTTCACCAGCATCAGCTAGTGAGAAAAGAAACAAGGCGTGTTTAACGAGAGCGGAAAAAATTCGCTTTATACTGAATGCGCGCAATTTTCCCCCGTCATTTTGTCGCATAATCTTCAGAAATCTGTTCGGGACGCGAAAGACAACCTGTGCAGCTACTTTTTTCATCTCACAGGCAGATAAGGAAAGAAAATTGTCTTTTCATAGCTTATTTCATACAGCACTTGGTTTTGGATTGCGTCACATTTCGTTTTCATTTTTCCCCCGTGGGCAAGAAAAAGAGAGAGAGAGAGAAAGAGCACGCGATTTTCTTCCTGAAATTCACCAGCTCGTAATTACGACACATTCATAATCAACGTCCCCCCCCCCCCCCTTAGTTCAGTCGTGGGAAAACATCAAGTGTCATCAGCACGAAAGCATTATAAAAAAGGGAACCAAAAAAACAATATTAGTCTGGAAAGAAAAGGGAGGGGAAAATGAGTTCTTTGAAATGACCCTTTGATGAACCATGTGTTGGGTTTTTTTTCCACGGATTGCAAATTGTATGTTTTGAGTGACCGATATTTGAATGCAAAAGTAATGTTTCGCCATTTTCGCAGCGAAAGCCTCAAAATACAGTAATGGCAAAACCAAGACTCCCACATTTTCATATGATTTTTCCTTCAAGTCATTTGAATATTAATAATACCTGCATGAACATTTATTTGTCTAAGATCTTTTAAACAAATTTTTGCGAACTCACAAAATTCTTCCAATTGACCAAAGAGGTGATAATCTTCCAAGATATTGTCAAGACACTATTTTAACATTTCCTTCAGATAATAAAGATTTTATTTTATTTTCATTAATCATATCAATACTTGAAAAGCCAAGTGAACAGAAAAAAGCAAGAAGAGAAAGGTTAGAATTTAAAATCTATTTATCTAAACCACAGGTTCTCAACCTGTGTTTGAAGCCCTGAGGGTTCTGACTGGAGTTCCCAAAAGAGCTCAATATTTGCCTCAGGATTGAGTAAAAAATTTGAAATAAATGAAACGATAATGAGCCACAAAAAATCAGTTTTCTGCTTGAAAGGGGAGATTTTGCAAAGGCTAGAATAATTCATTATTTTATTGTGCCTGGCGGATCTAAATGAAGCTTTAAAAAATTTGAAATAAATGAAACGATAATGAGCCACAAAAAATCAGTTTTCTGCTTGAAAGGGGATATTTTGCAAAGGCTAGAATAATTCATTAATTTATTGTGTCTGGCGGATCTAAATGAAGCTTGTGCATATTTCTTCAGGGATTCAGAAAAAAAAACGGTTGATTGGATTTCCTTTTCAAATATACAGTAATTGCATATCCGTAGTATTGCAAAATTCAGAGAAAAAAGGCTTTTCCTTATGTTTGCTAATCCTTTCCAATGAACCTTTGAACCGAATCGAGCAAGAACCACAAGTTTTCACCTCATCATACATTTTCCCCATTCACCTTTCAACCTTATTTTTCAAAATCCTGACTTCCTTGAGTTTTCAAACCTTCTTGTCAAAGAATACGTTAAATTACTTCCGTTTTATTTTTGGAGAAGAAATATACGAGTACATTACCGCGTCATTTCGGCACTTTTCTTTCCCCTGTGAAATGAATAAATTTTTTCAGAAATTCTATAAAGAATTGTGATTAGAAAAATCCATGACTGTTGGAAGATGTCAAAGGCACGAAAAATATTCACACCAAGTTTTTCAGATGGAAGAATACAAAGCTACAGTTACAAAAAAGTTTCACTCAGCCACAATGTTTCTATACAAAATTTCAGGCATACAATTTTATGAGAATTGATAATTTTTAAAAATAACATAATAGGGTTCAGCTTCGTTGGGAATCCAATTAAAAATTATCTTCTTGTAAAAATGTACACTTTCATTTTAAATTTTTCAATTTTAGTAATAATCACATGCAGATTTTCATTAAATTTCATGAATAGAAAATATTTGCAATTCGGCTTAAGCATGAAAAATACATTCAAGTGAAAAATTCCTGGTATCAACAATCATCAAACACGTTTCCTGTTCTGCAAGAAAGTTTAAAAAAATAATTATTATGAGGAAGAATTTATTATAATGATGTTTCTTGTAAGAAAGATTATCCTGTCATTTTTAAAACTTTTTAAGAGACTTACTTGCAGCTGAATGAAGGTTTAAAAAAAATGTGCAAAAATGTCAAACCAAGTAATATTTCGTGCGAAGTGTGCTTACGCAAAAACTATTCGTACCTCATATAAGTCTTTTGTATTTTGATGGAATGTAATGAGTGACAGGTGCAAGTCTTCGCAAATCTTGTGGTTTCTCAGCTCCGCAACTCAGGGACTTACATCAGATAATTTCATGGGACTTTCATCCGATTATGTAAAAACATCAGAGGAAAATACGCAACCGAAATTAACTTCAGAATTTTAATCGTGGTTCTTCTTTTCAAAACAGGAAAAAAATGACCATTCGAAAATTTGTTGACTTCAAAAAGCCTCAGGACTTCGCAAACCTCGTGCAGATGATTTAAAGAAATATTTTATCTGAACATTTCTAGTTTTTTTCGAAAAAATCGAAAATACACAAACAAAAGAAACAGTCTTTAATAATTTAATCGGAATAAATGACTGAAAACTTGAAGCACAAGAAAGCTTTTTGAATTTTCTTATAATACATTTACGCTTGCATACACATTTGGGGAGATAATTTCATCAAAAAGTAACATTTTTACAATTTTATAGTGAAGAATCGTTTTCTCGATTTTTTCTTGAGAAGAAATTTATTTTCAATTCTAAAAAATATAATTTTCCCGCGAATGACCTGGCTTTTGCAGCAGATAAGTTGAAAAAAAATCTTGAAGTTAAATCCCCAAAGTAAAGTTTCTTCAACTTGAAAATACTGTGGCATAAATAATTATTTTATGAAAACTCGAATTAAATTCATTGAGCAGCCAGAACGAAGAAACAAAAAGAGTATTTGAATGGAAACACTCCAATGAAGTAGTAAAAACAAAATTCAAAACGCTTTCTCGTCAAAATATAGCGAGGGAAAAAATTTAGGCCGCCAAGCTTGTTTCAGCAAAAGTAGATGTCGCTTGTAGTTCCAATTCTACTTCGATTTTTTCACATCACTTATGTTATCAGCCTGCCTTTTTTGTCACATTATTGGGGAAATTGGATAATCCCGGGAATTTCTCATCTTTCTCCCTTGTGAAAATTTTTTTGGCGAAGAATTCAAGCCTTTCATTCTCGTGGCTTCAAAATTTTTAATTAAAAAGGGTACAATAATATACGATGCTAAAATAAAATGTTTGCGTAATAATACAGTAATTTGACATTTTCATCGATGCTTGAAAATTACTTCCACTTGATAATTTCAAATGTGGCTGTTGCTAATATGATTTTGTTACTTGGAAGATAGAGTGAACTTTTTATACCTTTTAAATTGTATGTCATAATTATAATCATTTTTCCTTAATTTTTTTGACACACAGACTGAAAAAACTTGCCAAAAATGTGCGTAGATCGACCACTTTCACGGGAAATTTTTCTCTTTTTTCAAGCAAGAAGTTCCATTTCTCATATTTTTATAACTAATTAATCTCTATTTTAAAAAAGGGCTGAAAATATAACTGCTTGTAGATAAATCAAAATACGTTTGGACTTTGTCATCAACTTCTTTAATTTGAAGTTACAGTCGATTCCACTGAAATCTAATTTAATTTAATAAACCTCCCTCATTCAACACTTTTGAGTCAAACCTCCCTGTTTGGGATTTAGAGGGCCTTTTTGTAATTAAATTGTAACTCAATTTTATATCAAGCATCTGATATTCCAGAAAATCAAACAAAACAAAGGCGAAATATTTATTCTATGCCCTTTCTACTGAAAGCAATTAATTATCTGCCTGTACAAGTATTGCATCTCTATGAAGATTTAATTTTTAGAACAACTCGGCCTGGGAATATTTTCCATTGATAAAAAAAAAACCCCGAAATTTCATGATTAGAAAACAAAGTCGAATTTTTGGAATCCCTTATTCGAATTCGACTGAGATATGTCAGGAATCAATCCTAGACAAGATAGATGTTAAGAATGAGTTGAAGTTTAGAAATGTTTGAAATTGGATTTATCATAAATAAAACAAGAGAATTTGGTTGGGCTACAACCGGGGTGACAATCCACCCAATTGTAAAGTTGTTGTACTTTGAAAAACACGCAAATATTTGCAAAATATCTTCAAGTGACACACACAAGAGCTTGGATAGAAGTGAAGTTTTCTTGCAGATTTGGAAAACAGGAAAACTGTCGTCCAAGGACAAAAAAAAACAGCAACCGGATTTTGGCAGTAAAAAACAGCCTTGAATGCTTTGAAAGAAACGTGAGAACCATACGGTCTTTCTTGATTCTCGCAATAAGATGAATGAAGAAGATTTTCCCAAGAATTTGGGTTCTCTGATTTTGTGTGACAAATTGACCACAGACATGTATTTTTCACAACAATATGTTCAGTTTTAATTCACTGGCATTTGTACACTCATCATTGTCAAGACTAGGTTTTTTTAATGTCAATTTTTGCATAAGCTTTCGTTTTTCTCCCCCTCACACTCACCATCTTCTTCCGGTTTCGTTTCAGCTGCAACAATGATAACACGACGTTCATCAGACTCGTTCTTATTCCCGGCAGCAGAAACAGTGTCATTCCCGACGACGATTTCTCCCGCCGTCACCGACGTCGTCGTCGACACGACCAAAAACAACCACACCAACAAAAACGCCGACGACGACAAAAACATCCTGCACGAAAAGTCAAAACGCGTTCGTCTCACTTTCGCGCAGCGGCCGTCGTCGACATTTTCTCTCGGCCGCATTTCAGCAAAGTGGGACTTTCTGCACACAAAAAAAAAAAATCACTGATCAATCATTCGACGTTGGTTATTCTTTCTTCTATTCCCCCCCCTCCTTTTTTTCAGGACGAAAAGGAACACGAAATTGAATGTTCCTTGAAGTGCGGAGAAAAGCGGACTGTTGAGTGAGAAGTCAATTTTCGGCGCAACTATCGGAAAGTTTCGCGCGCAACAAGGAAGAAACGTTTTTTTTTTTCTTCCTGCAATTACGTGTTTTTTTCTTCGTGATGAATAATGAAAACGAGGGAAAAAAAGCAGTGAAATATTATGATTCCGGCGTGTAAGAAAATATTAAAGAAATTCGACAATAAACGGGAAAAAGTGCCTGAGGGGATATTGCATGTGTGTTTTTTTTTCTCTTTCGCTCTCTTTTTATATAACGTGAGGTGATGGTTTATGTTTGGAAACCGCATAAAACTTCGTTTGTAAATAGCTTATGGTTAAAGTACACGTTTTCCAGCATATCATGGAAAACTTGAGAATTGAGAAAGAAAAACATTGTTTTTAATGTATTTTGTTAATTAGCCTGAAATTAATCTGTATTTGACTGCTGTACATTATTTGCCAATAACATTTTAGTTATTCTATTACAGTAATCCCAACACGAAAAATTATGCAGCAAAATCTTCCTACAACGAATCTCCTTTCAACGAATCAATAATTACGAAGAATTAGTTTTTTCGGTCCCTGACCAAGAGCTAAAATGTTTCTTTTAATTTCGTTTTAACGAATTTTTGTTTACAGCAACGAAGCTTTTTTGAAGGTCTCAATGCTTCGTTGTGACGAGTTTTCGGCTTCATGGACGAAAATTTGTTTCGAATTAATATAATTACTAAAATCGTCGTTTCATTTATCTTCTGTATAGTATGTAGTAATTCACTCATGCTGGAATTTTATTAATTTCTTGATTGAAATTAATTAAATTATCAGCAAAAATAATGAAGCTTTCTATTAAAATGAACCATATGTTCGAGAAACGTTCACCATCTCAAGCATCAAAAAACCTCGGTACGACATTAATTCGAAATATCATTTATAAAATCTATGGCAACTCTTTTAAAATATTATTTGGACTTTGTATTTATTCCGAACAAAGTAAACAGCCTTAACGACTAACTAAAGAGAAAAAACACTAAAGTGTTTAATACGATTGATGTATATTTTTTTCAAGATTGTAACGCAATTTATCTATGGTTTCAACATGCGGAAAAAGAATTGATCAATTTTAAATGGTATTGTCCAAGGGAAAAAATCTCCTTCAATTTTTTTTTGCATGAGTTTCACACTATTTTAACTCAAAATCATTGCATTGAGGATACAGCACATGCCTTTAGTTATTTGCTTTTTCCTGACAAGGTAGAAAACACGTCAAAGGTTCATTTTCGTTCACTTTCCGTCAAACTTTCTTCTAGTGATGTTCTTCGTAATACAAGTGAAGTCAGTTGGGCTCACTTTAAGACTACCTTCTTTTGGACACCAACCGAGTTAAAAACTCTCTTCGAGTGCGTGTTTAAGGACAAAAAGCACAACGGCTTCCGTCTTAAAGTCCTAATGCAATAACAAACGGAAGAGTGAACGAGTTATTTGAGTAGTATTATTTATATCGCAAGGCTTAAATTGTGACGTTGACGGAGAAATTGCCGACTTGATTCCCTCCTGTTTTTTTATTTTTATTTATTTCGTATATGACAAGGAAATGAGTGTTGGGAAAGCTTCATTTTTTCCGTGACAAATTTAATACTCTGCTTATAATCTTAAAGGTTGCAAAACCTAAGAGAGAGTCAAAATAAGTTCTTTATAACACAAACCGGACAAAAATAAGAGACTCGTCTTATCTTGTAGACATTTTAGGTAGCAGATTAATAAATTTTTCGGTAGCAACAGGTTTAAATTACACTCGCCTTACATTCTTATTCGAAGCAATATGCATGAAAATAGCATTTTTACTGCCTGAAAACATGAAAAGTAAAAAAAGAAAACAAAATTGCAATTTCACACATAGAATATTACCCTAAAAATTAGGAAAATGTTCGTTTTCTGGTTCCTGAACTGAATACAGTCATGGAAAAGAAAAGTGTGAATGATGTATGACCTGTTTTAGCATCTTGTCCGTTGGTATGGCATGTTGGTTCAGTTTTCCTAGATGTCGCTCTATTGACATGCAGGATTTCATGTAATAATTTTTACCAAGTCCACCCAAGTTTCAGCATTGATATTGGTGTAATATATAGAGGCATAAACGGGTTGATTGTGTTCTAAAGTGGGTATTTTTTTCAAAATAATAGAAGGCGATTTTGTTTTCAAAGATTCTTCCATTTTATATACAGTACACCGCCACTGATGCATGCGTTTAAGGCAAAGTTTGATAAATTTAGAAATTCAAACTTTTCCCCCACAATAACCCGGAAGTCGTTTTTTTTTCTTACCCAGTTTTCATGAATTTTGGAAATAAAAAATGAAGCATTTAAACTTAATTCCAGATGCAGAAGCAGTCTGGAAAGAGCCCTTCCCTTGCTGGTGAAATTCGAGACTTGAGTGACGTAAACATTTTTTAAATTGCCATCAAGCACAAAATTCTGAGAGTGGAGATTTGCGAATGAGCTGCACCTGTTGTTCATCTTGTCTGCGAGGAGATATACGCGTGATATCGTGACGATTATTATTCCACGTAATTACAGAAGTTATGACGCAATCCGAGAGATGGAGACATATGCTGGGCACCGTGTTGCTATTATTTATTGCGACGGAATGTCAAGACCGAAATGCTACGCCTGTCCCAGATGATGTTTACTGCTGCCTGATTGTGATATCATATGTCCCTTTTGCGGGACAGAAGTGACATCTGTTGAATATTGAAATGCATATCTTATGTGTAATGTCAGAGTTCAGGGCACAATAAAGGGTCATTACATACACAGTAAAATACAGCATTGTGTTTGACTGGCAGTTGAATCAACTTCAATTTTATGGGCTTCAGAATGGCAATGAATCTCACACCAGAGATTCTCATTTCAACTAATGGAACCAATAATGTATGCAAATGTATGCATGTTTCAAATGTATGCAGAATGATAAGTTTTTTATGGCCTTTTTTATTATCAGAACAGGAATATCTTGCCAATTTTTATGCACTCTCTACACAAGCACAGTTTTCATATACAGAACCTTATAAGATATCACTCATATGCTTCTCATCCTCACTCATTATTCTTTTACTCATTTTTTTGAGGATGCGCAGGACTGGGACAGGACAGCAGCACACCACAACCACATATGTACTCCCTATTTAACATTTTTTTTCTTTTATCCCACCTTATGTAGGTAGAGAAATTCTATAACATGGGGGAGAACCCTACAGGACCACTATCAAATTTGCTATACACAGAAAAAATCATTTTACAGAGACCACCTGTGGTAATGACATCCTTCCATTGTTGCTATATTGTTCAAATAAAGCTGGGGTAAATTTTTCAGCAAACCCCAAAATCACACAAAGAAAAATTCGCATAAATAGTGGAGAACCCTTGGTTGATGATACAATAAATACACAACACATCTACTATTGAAAAAAATTACACAGCAGGTTTGTCTAATCAATGGAAATCACGCACAGGAACATTTATCACAACAAAACCATTGAGACCAAGAGAAAGAGCTTTGTTATGACAAACAATCAGCTATAAAGAAATCGGAATAGAATTGTGAATATCATCCAGGAACACACAAAAAAAAGAATTTTTTGCATTAGCAAGAATAATTTGCTAAAACGAGATGTGCTGTGACAAGATTCGAGCACTATATATACAATATTCAGAACCGCTGGATATTGGATCTTATTCAAAATAATTTTACACGCACATGTTACTTCTAATTTTCAGCATTTTACTGCCGCCTTTTCATGGCATACGCTTCAGCCTTTGAAAATTAAAAATGTACCTCATCTACGTTCATCCACAATGTTAACATACATTTTGTTTGTTAACGAAAAGCACTCCAATTATTAAGCAGCAAGTTTCAGCTTCACACATTGAATCTGCTTACATTCATGAAGAAATGAAGGAAGACCAAGTTCCAGCCATGGACCCGGCACAAAAATTCCGAATTCTTATTCTCCATTCAATTCGCAAATCTTTCAACATGATCCACACAACATTCTCGTCTTTTGCTCAAGAATCAACAAACTTCGAGACCCTTTTTCCAGTCCGGCAACAGCAGTAAATATCAACACGATGTTCCCTTTGCTTCACGCTCAGCAACGACGTTTAAAAAAAAAGAGAGAAAAAACACACCAACTCGTCAATTCCAACCGCAAATGAAGATTCAAACAAACGACCGGTAAACTCAGTCGTATCGCGCGCTTCAAATCAATAAAAAAAATCAATCAACCAATACATCCGAAATTCACGACGAAACGGATTCAAAGCCCCGAAAAAAATCAATTCAAAATCGCAAATCAACGTCGGAACATTTCAAAAACAACGGTTCAACCCCCCTCTCCTTGAGCCTCTGCAATTTCGACACACCGTTCCTAGATGTCGCTTCACTTGTTCGCTGAGGGGCCACCAGCCCCCAAATCCCGTCGGTTGTCGTCGTCGTCGTCCGACAACGGCTCGTACTTGCTCTGCGACGACCCGACGAACTGGTGCTGTTGGTAGTCCATGCGTGGCTTCTTACTGCCGTCGGATCCGGTCACGTCGTCGCCGTCTTCTGGCCCGTCGGTAGGCGGACGTCGTCGCGGCGGCGGCTGTTGGGAGGCGCTGAAAGACGACACGGGCCGTCCAGGGCTGGGCGCCTCCGTGCTGCCCGGACGGTTGCTGCTAGAGCTCATCATCGGTCGTTGAAACAAATTTCCTAAATGGGCATTAAAAAAAAATCAAGGTTCATTTCGTAAGCAAAAAACAGTTTCCGAATATAAAAAGTTTCATCCCCTGAATAAAAATGTTTTCATCAGTGACAGACGATCATCCGCACAAAGACATGATAATCGGTAGTTCAAAAACAATGCCTTTTCTCCTTAATTTTTTTAATAACCAAAAAAAAAAGAAATACGCATTCAATTACCGGGAGCAGAAACAGGCGGTGGGCCAGCTGGAGGGGTGTTGGATGGCCCCCTGTACTGGGAATGGTGCATCGGGTGGTGGTGGGGATGGTAGGGGTGTTGTTGGTGCGGTGACACCGGTGGTGGATGGGACATGGGCCTCCTGAGTCCACCAGGACTCGACTCTTGCGGCTGGTGCTGATGTCCACCCGAACCCGGCCTAGAATGCGATTGCTGATGAGGGTGCTGCGAATGAGTGTCCACCACCAGCGGCGCCAACGGCGGTTGCATCTGCTGGCTTCCACATCTGCAAAAAAAAAAAAATCTTTTATTTTAACAAAAGGCATCATATTTACATACTGTGTCAGAATAAAGCATTAAATATTAGAGAAAGAAGTCCCTGGCCATTTTTTGGACAAATCTTTCAACGTAAACCCATTTATAGTCACTTGAAATCATGACTGATACGACAGAAATTGGAAAATCTCGCAAAAAATTAATTTTCAATCCTCGGATAGGTTTATTATTCAAGAATGATGTACTGTGTGCAAGAAATGAGCATGTGACGGATGAACATCTCATATACTACATCTTGCATCCCAAGTTTTTGGCAAGAAAACCCGTTTTTTCCCCAAATATTAGCGGAAACTCAACAAAATTTACCTTTGGGAACCGTGAGCAGCCAAATCCTCTGCCCCGTCTTCGGACGTCCGCATCACTTCCGTAATCCTGTTGCACACGTACTCGTCAAAGGCGCACTTGGACTGCGGTGGCGGTGGGCCGCCTGGGCCAGGAGATGGCCCACCGTGGAACCTCGGGCCGGACTGCATGTGATGCTGCGGAATGTGATGGTGTTGCTGCTGCTGCTGCGACGGTGGCGGCCCTGGAAGCTGGTGTCTGTGCGCATGAGGATGCGGATGATGATGATGCGACGGCGGCGGTGACATGGCCTCCTGTTGCTGCTTACTGTAGCCTCCTGAACCTGGCCGCATTTGCTGGCCAGGCGACGACTGCGGCGGCATTCGTTGCTGCATTCGAGCTGCGACATTCATTCAAAAGACGCCCCTTTATCATAAAACTTGTCACTGTTTACTTGCCGTGCTTCAAAATTGACAACCATTCTCTCTGCGTATGTCATTACAATCAATTTATTTTGAATCTTAGAAGTTCGTGGATCTGACTCATGTTTCTGTTATCAGCTTAATCTTCTCGAAAACTTTAAAAAATACCAAGATTAAAACTCTTGCGCACTTGAACTGAAAATATTGGCAAAACTGCGTTCGGCTCACTTCCAGATTCAAACAGTTTATTCAGAAGATTGTGCATTTTGAAAACGATCCAAAACGTTTTTTTATTTTATTTTTTGAGAAAATTTCAGCAAAAAAAAAAGTGCGTTACACTCAGTTTATAATGCGCACACACAATGCTTTCCACAAATTTCGGAGTAAAACTAGAAAGGATAGAATCCCCTTTTGCCTCCAGTTCATCAAAATAAAAATTTAGTCCAACACATACTCTAGCATCAGTAAGCGATTAAAAAATACAGTAATAAAAATATTCAAGACAGGAGTACAACGCATAATTCTTGATTGCATCCTTTAAGCAATGCATGAGTAGATAATTTAACACAAGTTGTGATAATCGTGAGAGTGTCCCTCACCGACAGCCTCTTCCTGCGCAGACGACGTCGGCGGCGACACCTGTTGGCCTCGCATTTGCTGCTCTTGCAATCGCTGTTGCTGCTGCTGAGACTGAGTCGGTACTCGAATAATGTGCCTCTCGTCCGGTGCGAGAATATCGCCGCCACTCGATGAGGAAGAAGTCGGCGGTCCCGACGACGACGACGGCGGTCTCGACGGCGGCTGCTGCTGCTGCGACCTAGGATGCATCTCCGACGGACTAATGGCCGGTGGCTGGTGTAGGTGTGACTCCGTATTGTACGCCTTGTTCTTCAGCTTCCAAGGCAGGTGGCCTTGATACGGTTCTGCGCGAGAAAGAAAATTTTAGAAAAATGATTTGTCGCCGAAGATGAATAATTTCGTGCGTGAGAAAACAAACTCGTTCAAGTCACGCAACCTCATCATTTGTTCGGCTTCGACAACTATTTAGAACACAGTTTCTCACAAAATGCCGTTGAGTAATTGCAATTTCCTTTTCCGATTAACCGAGAATAGACGTATGACGTGCGAACTTCTCGGGACATTCAGAAATCCCGTCTTCTCAAGGTTAAAAAGAAGCGTTCGGATTTTGAGGAAGTTTTTTGTTGTTGTTGTGGAAATCAAGAAGTCTCTCACGACACGAATTGAATTTAAAACGGAGACCGTCAAGTTTCTTGCAACTTTAGTACGATTAAAATCGAGGCTTTATTCGAATCTCATTTCCCAACGCCTTTTCTCTGAAATTCTATTCAGAGAAGCAAATGTTTCGTCAGAAATATTCGCATCAGTTTCCGCATTCTAAAATACAGAACACTTGCTCGATCACTTTCCATACAAAATCGGCCATAAATTTCAAGATTCCCAACAGACTGAACCCTCGTATGTTTAAATATGCGAAAGCATTTTGAAATTATCAGAAAATAAAAATATTATTTTTCTTTTACAAATCCAAAAATCGTCCATGGCCAGAATTTTCCATCAGAGGTTCAAAATGTATAGAACATATCTATCTGAAAACCCGTCACAAAACCACTTCGAAATAATTACCTGGTCGACTAGGAGCCGCTGGCAACGGGACAGGTCTTCGCATTTCAGGGACACCAACAACCGCAGCCCTGGCCCGCATCTGCTGCTGCTGCTGCGACGACGGCGGTGCAGATGGACGTCCTAATCCAGCGTGATGAGGAGACATTCCTGTTAACACATGCGATGCAATGAATATTTCATCAAATGCAGACTTCCAAAAAAAAAAAAAGAAATACGTTCTCCGTAAAATACCTCATCGATCATCTGATTTGATTGGAAAGTTAAGTGCGTCAAGAAGTTATTTTCGCAAAACATTTTCTAGATTATCAAGCATACCGAAACTCTTTTTTTCCAAACATTTTTCACTTCTGTACAACAATAACTCAAGTAATCTACGTGTGTCAAGTTTTTCTAAAAATACGGTATTTCCATACGATAAACGGCTGAAAGTAATCAAAAATGTCGCCCTTTATTTCGTTTTTTTACTTTTTTGTTTTGTTTCAAAGACGTTTTTGACTTCGCAGAAACGCACCTTGCGGCATCATACCACCGGGAATCCCTCTCATCATGGACATCATGCCGTTTCTTTTGCCACCCGCACCCGGGTCGTCGTCGTCGTCACCCACAGGTTCACCTCTTCTGCCACCATAAGGTGGGTATCCACCACCAGCACCGCCGCCGCCACCACCACCAGAAGTCGGCGTCGGCGTCCGCGACAACTGCTGCGGCGACATCTGCGGCGGCTGTCCGTACTTGCGGAAGAATTCGTCCGAGTTCTTCTGCAAATCCGCGTTCTCCGCCGTCATCTCCATGCTGATCTGCTTCGTGATGATGGCGTCAATCAAGTTCGCCGCCGTGATGGTTGACTCTCCAGAGGAAGGCGGCTGATGCTGCTGCTGCTGTTGCGAGGCGCTGGCACCTCCTCGTGGTGGGCCCGATCCCGAAGAACCCGGGTGCTGCTGTTGTTGCGGCGGCGGCGGCAGTGGGTTCCCGACACGCTGCGGGTCGCCGACGAATCCGTGCGGGAATGGCGGCCCACGAACATTGCCGATCGAGGAATCGTCGTCCGCTGGATGGTGATGAGGATGGTAGGCGCCTCCCGAACGTCCCGGGGGCGGCGGTTTTGGTCCGCCGCCAGCTGGACTACCCGAGTCTTGCTGTTTCATCCTACGCTCAAAATGGTCCTGTGCAAACAGCTGTTCTCGACTCCCACCAGGTGGCATGCGATATCTGCAAGCACAAAAGATGAAAAATGAAATTACTGATTGATTTTTACGAGTCCGGAATAAATACAGTTCTAGAAATCAGAAAACTCCTCGAAAAATGTAAAGGCTATTAAACAATTCACGGCTCTTTTGAGGAATTTTTAAACAAATACGCAAAAAGCATTACTTGCCCTTCAAAATTGAGCGACGAACCTTCGTACAAGCAAAATTTTAATAACCAGCAGACAGTAAAATTTTGCTTTCCATTCGAACAATGCTACGAAATTTCGTTCCTGGACTAAGAATTTCAATCTATCTAAAATATTGTACCTCAAAACACTGAAACTGATAAGCCAATACCAAAGTTATGAGGCTCTAATATTTGGCAAGTTCATCGAAACAGCTATAAAAAAATAATGTTTGAAAAAATAGTGAAACAAAAATTATTTTAATGCGATCAAATTGAGCTTTTTCTTGAAATTAAATACAGTTTTTTTTAATATAGATAGACTCTGTCAACCACAAAATTCAAGGGACGAGAAAAAAAATCCGTTGCAATATGGAACAACACAATTGTATGCACAGAAAATCTTTTTCGACAAGATCGTTTTAGAGAGAGAGTGAGATAAGTCCTGCATTTCTGTTTGAAGAATTGGAACGAGATCATCTGCTCTTTCATCTAACGAAGGAAGAAGAAGATGAATTTCCTCACCGGTCGCCAGAAGCGGAAGACGGCGGCGCGTGCGGCGGGCCACCATAACTCGGCGGGAACCTAGGTATCATCATCTGGTGCGGGTACCGATCAGCCATTCTCATGTCCTGCTGCTCGTCGCCCACGCTTCGATGCATACCATGATGACCCGGATGTTGAGGCGGTTGCTGCTGCTGTTGCGGATGCGGAGGCGGCAAGTACGCCAAACGATTCTTGTGCACATTCTCCGCCATGGCTCGTTCCAGTCCTTCGCGATCATCTTCAGCGTCTCGATCGCGGTCACGGGAACCGCCGCCGTCTCGCTGCGCCACAGCAACATCAACGAGTGTATCCAAGGGGCTCTGGTGGTGGTGAGATGGCGGAGGCGGATGTGGCGCCTGTTCCCGCTTGAGCATGGCGGCCTGAGGCGGAGGGTAACGATCTCCGAACGGCGGCTGATACGGTGGCTGGCCCCCTGCAATTTGATATCAAAAGAAAGCGAGGTGAAAAACTCTGCCATGATTTCCATCCAACCGCGACAGAAATTATTCATCTTTACAACCATAGAAGAAAAAAGATGTGCATCAACAGTCAACTTAAAAAGAAAAAGATACTTATTCTCAAACTTTAAACCTGGCCAAAAATATACTGACGAAATAATGAATACTTCATGTGACAAGAAATGAATGAAATTTTTTCATACGAGAAGAAAATTTCTTCTCCAGAAAAGAGGCATCCTTAAAAATACTCGCTTTTATACAGCGATCTAACCCACACAAAATCGATTCAAATTTGAAAAACAACTCGATAAGTCTTAAAAAATTTGAAATACACAAAATCCATCACAACGTCTGATCCTAGAAATCAGTCCAATCCAATTACATTTCAGAAAAAGGTTAAAATAGTCACGAAAAAATTACAAATTTGCAGTCTAATTCGAAATAAGTTTTGCAAAAAAGCATTAAATATTTACCGCACATTGAATAAATTGCAGTACAGTAAAGTAATTGAAACCAGATCCTGCTATTTCTGGGTAAAAGCTTGCGTTTCTTTTGATCTCGCTTCTCCAATGAAATAAATTTCAACAACAAATTTCGTAATGGATTTCCGGAGAAAAATTTCTTTCGACGCCTTTCCCACGCAACTCAAGAACATTCCAAACTATTCATAAGGTTTAGAATAATTTTTATGCGTGAGAAAGAAAATTAAATTTGCTTAGAATCAAGAAAAACATTTCAAAATTTGCTGAGGACTCAAGGTTTGTTTAAATGAAGAAAAAAAGGTTTACGCCAGATGACCACTTCACTTTGCAATTCCAATTCATTCAAATTTCAAATTGCTTCAAAAATTAGTGGTCCATCAATTCTACTCACGATCCGAAACCCCCGCCTAACTTCAAAAATGTTTACTTTTAAACCAGGATCATAACTCTGTTGTTAAAAAACTTGAAAATGTGTACCCTTGAATTTGAAAATAAATTTTCACTCCGTTTGTCAGACGGAATTAAAGTACTTACAGTAGTTAACCAGCGGATATGAAAGGTCGTCAAATATGAAACGCACTTTTATCTGTTCAATCAATTTTTAAAACAAAAACAAAAATTTGTACTCAAGCAATACGACAGGTTACAGCTTAATTAAACACGGTTAACGCACGAGAAATTGATTCACCTTAAAAAGGATTTTAATCTAGTTTTAGAGAGAATAAGCATAATATTCCCAGAGAAGGCTCTTGTTTTCGCTAAATTTTTCACCTCCATAAGGCCCATATCCATAGACCATGTAGCGGGTGTCCCCCGGCCTAGGCGGCATTCGGCCACCCGCGTCCCGGAGGTCGACGGCGGATCCCGCCAGCGGTGACGACCGCGGCGGAGGACGTTCACCCGCTGACATCGGCGACGGACACGGAGAACGTCCCACCTGTCCTTCTCTCGGCGACACCGGCACCGGCTTCCCTGGCCCTCCTTCCGCGTGTCTGGGAGTGTAAAAAAAAAACATCATTGAACATATGTTATTTTTTTGTGCGAAATAAATTATGCAATTCTGCAACCCGATCAGAAGCGTAGCTCCATGCTGACAAAGATGGAAAAATTAACTGATGCCTTTTCTTTCCGCAATAATCCTGCTCATGAATTTTGAACTTTTTCTTCTACGACGAATTCTTTCTTTTTTCCAAGACAAATTCCATAACAAGGGGGGAAAAAGCTTCACGCTGTTCCCGTAACCGCGAATATTTTAAAAAATACGATAACCTTTTTCTCTCCCGATGACGCGTAGGATGATTACATATAATATATATACAATACAGTACTTCTCGCATAAAAAAAAATTTCGTAGTTTTTTCCACCAATTTCATGACGATGAATGAAATTCTTTTCCAGAGGAAACAGGCTCGTGTTTATTGTAATGAGAACTGGAAATAAATCCATTTCGAGACATGGGATAAGACTCAAAATGGTCGACCGTCGGCAATTCGAACCTTGCTAATTTCAAAATTTAAGATGAATATAGAATAAAAAAATCAAGTCTGCACGGTATCTTCGAGCAGGTGTTTCCAGAAAACTTTCTCCGACTCAACGACGCATAAAGAACACTCCAAAAAAATAGAACCCCCATCGTTTCCCCCAATTTTCCTTTCTTTCCCACAGAAAAAAAAAATTAAAAAGCAATTTCCCACCTTCGTCCACTTCCAGCCATGTGTTGGGAAGTGATAAAGTCACTCATTATGAGGTCTCTGTTGGAAATGCTCCCACTGCCTGCACTGCTTGGGTGGTCACGTTCGCTGCCCGGTGGCCCGTGGTGCTGCTGCTGCTGTTGTTGTTGTTGAGGCGGCAAACCCGGGTGGCCCGGGTGCGGGTGATGTGGGCCAGGGTAACCCCTACTTCCAACAGATGACGACGACGATGACGAATGGTGCAAATAGGGACTTCCTGGATGATGGAACAGTTTTTCCCCCATGCGAGAAGGATAGAAAAATAAAATGTTGAAAAAAAAAATACGTATTTTCAATGCATCACCCATGGAATGACGCGCGCACAATTTTCATCCCGAATCTTTCAGTGCTTAGAAACTATCTTTCGATATTCTCTCCGCCGACTTGGCAAATACGAATCAGCCTATCAAAGCGCACTGGTTCATTTATTTTCAACAGGAACAGATCACATTGTTTCAAGTTTCAACTTTATGTTTAGAAAAAAAGGTAGATTGAAAAATTATTTCTCTTCGGTGGAAAAATTGGATCAAACGTCATAACTCTAAAAAATAGTTTTCTCACCTACACTTTTTTTCATGCGTTGCCTTTGCGCACTAAAGCAAAACGAATTCAATGTTACAACCTCAAAAAATAGTGTTCTCAACTACCCTTTTTTCCATGCGTGCTTTTGTGAACTACGATATAGCAAACAGACTTTAGTTTTACACTCGTGGTAGGACACCTCGTTTTTATTCTTAAAGTCTCTTTGCCTTGGTAATGCTTTCAGCGAAAAAAAATTTTAAAAAAAAATGCGAACCGGGCATCGGAGGCGGAGGGCCATATCCTGCAGTCACAGGCGGCGGATATTGGCCCCTGGCGGCGAAACCCGGCGGAGGAGTAGGAGGCATCCTTGATGACGGTGATGGGCCATCCATATGTTGTTGCTGCTGCTGCTGCTGTTGTTGTTTTGCTGTTGTTGTTGCCTGGCTCTGCTTATCGGCTGCTTCGGTGTCCCGTGTCTGATTGAGCCTGCCCCTCCTCCCGCTGAAGAGTGATGATCATCTCTCACCATCATTCCACCTGGGGTCGACACAGGATTCATTAATCATCATCAAGTGACACGCGATCTTCGTGTAACTTCATGAATAAGGTGTCTCGCAGACAACACAAATAATTTTAAAATACAGTGAGACCTCGGAATACGGACACCCCGACATTTGGACGATTCAACTTCGGGACACTTGAAACTGAAAAAGAATCTATCCCCAGCATCCGGACAGTGACTCGAGATGGGCCACCTTTCCAAGATTTCTGGAAGAATCTGAAAATTTTATTTTCCTCAATTTATGCATCTGTTGTAGAAATTGAGCTATTTGAATCTACAAATACTGAAGTGAAAATCGATATCCTCATGAAATTACCCTAATTCATGATTAAAAACGAGCTAATTTTTCCTGCTCCTTTTTTATTTTGTTTCATCATGTGCACTCATTATAGCAAAACTTGTTCTTTTTCTTCGCTTCTTGAGCTCCTTCTGATGCCATAAGATCAGATTCCGCGTGGTTTTCTTCAGTACTTTTATTTTCTGTATCTTTGAAGTTGAGAAAAAAGTTATTTTATTCATTTTTGGGGGGATTTTTTCAAGTATTCATCTGCAGGAACGCCAATTAAATATATTCCCATTGAAGTCTACGGGAAAATGAGATCCGACATGCGGACATTCTGACTTCGGGATAAGGTCCATGCACTAATTTTGTCCGCATCTTTGGGGTCCCATACAGCAATTATAATAATGAACTGTACTCGCGCGAATATAGGTGGCAATTTTCCCTTACAAAAAAATAAGCTAGAAAACTTCAGCGGGACTTCAACTCAAGATTCTACAACTACGAAATAATTCAAATAATTATTTTGCGGCCAATACAGTTTTTTACTCCAAATAACAGCCTAAAATTTGCGGGAATAAATCACCATGAAAAAATGTCTTCTTCATCTTCACAAAAACAGAACTGATCTTCCTACAGCACTTGAGTCTCAACTGTCGAAAATACATCCTACCCCGCTTTTCAAAACATATTTTTTAAACTTATCTACTTGTGATTATTTCTTCCTTTTTTTTCAGTTGGTCTACCGGTGTCTATCGAAATATCGGGTGTGCTCTAAAATCGATACAGTAAAGTGCGAAAAGAAAATCTAAAGAGAATTCCAAAGAAAAACGGAAAAATACACCACACACAGAACAGTGGCAATCGAGGAGCCTTTTTTCGTCGCTTTTCCTGGTCGTGCTTTCGTTGGGCGTTTCTCCTTATTGATCGCTATTGAACGTATGGTATATTTATTAAATAATTTATTTAAAAATCGGTGAAATAAATTTTAAAGGAATTTCGAAACGATAGCTCTGAATTATCACGTGAAAAAATGAGCATTCCAATCAGCTTTACCCACTAAAGCGGATTCCGTCCATTAACTGAGGCCCCGCTCTGTACAACAACGCGAGATCATCAAAAAATAAATAAGAACAATTTCATATAATATATCAATCATGGTTGCCAACACAGACTCAACTAAACTACGCAAAAAAATAAACCAAACTACAAAGTCGTACTTCCGCTCTTGTCCTTTCCTGCGCAAGCCCAATCATCACTACGTCAAACACCAACAAAAACAAAACACAACAAAAAAAGCGGAAAAAGGAAGGAGGGGAAAATCACGGAGGAGATGAGTGGGGGGGAGGAGACATAGTGAAGAGAAAGACACAACTTGAAAAAAAAGCAAAAGGTTCAACAAAAGAGGAGGAGGAGGAGGATGAGGAGGAAAGATGAAACTGACCGGGAACGGCGTCGAACCGCGCAACGGGCGCCGCCGGAAGTGGCGGCCCGTGGCTGACGGGCGTGCCGTGCGTGATGGAGCCCGACATCATCACGCTGCCGGGCGCAGCAGGGAACTTACTACCAACCCCAACACCACCTCCACAAGCAGTGGCTACTTGCCCCGCAGCTGGCGACATCTGTCCCCGGCCCGTTGCTTTGCCAGAGATAACAAATTTTTTTCAAACGCACCCGGAAAAAGACAAGATAAAAAGAGAGAATTCCACTCAACTCCCATATAAATCCTATGCTCTCTTGAACAACAACAACAAAAAAACCGAAGAATTTTTCGAAAGGGTTTCGGATTTCCGTGCACAGAAAAAAGGCATATTCAATCATTAGTTCACAACTAAACACTATGCATTATTTGTCAATCTGAACTGATTACAGTAGTTCTCATTTCTCTTATCTGAAAATTGGAGCACGTTATAAAATTCAACACCTCCTTCAAATTTAGAATCACCAAATCGGAACCTCGACAAATTTCCTCAAACACAAATAACGTGAAGCAAAAATTTTAAAAATGAACAAGTGTTTCTCAAACGTCATGAAAAGCTGGACAAAATTGAAATTATTACCTGCTTAACGAATTACGTTAAAATCGCATAAATGACACACTTGATAAGTACCGAATTCCTCATACAGTACTTGAATTAATTCTCTTTTCTTCAACAAGATAGTTCAGGAAATCTCCAGAAGAAACGTGGGACAACAGGAGAGACAGATGGAGTGAGAAAAATCGAGACAGACGACAGATGAACAGCGCCACTTTTTACATCACCACCATCACCACCGTCGCAAATCTACCGACTCTAAAACTCTCACACAGTCTCAGTCCAACACTCACCCATTTGCCTCTGATGAAGTTGTTGCTGCTGCTGCTGCTGTTGTTGTTGTTGTTGATGCATGGGATGATGCAAATGAAGCTGCTGCTGCTGTTGTTGTTGCTGTTGTTGTTGAAGATGATGCGGATGTTGCGGTGGTTGTTGTGGGGCAGGATGGTGATGGTGTTGCACCGGAGGCTGGTGCCCGTGATGCGGAGGAAGGTGGTGGGGGTGGTGGTGGTGGTGCGGATGCATCACGCCCGGCGCCCCAGCACCGTCTCCTTCCCTCAACATATCCGGCGGTCTGACTGTCGGCTTCGAATTACTGTGAGCTGGAGGCGGACACACTGAAAAAACGCATCAACAAAAACAGTCAAAAAAAGTTTCATTGTCAATCCTCACAGGATAATTCAACAGAAAATACCTGCTGCACCAGAATTGAATTCACAGGTTTATTAAATTTATACTTTTATAGGATCACTTTATAATTTCAGTCAACGTACAAGTTTTGCTTTTCGACACTTGGGCCAAATTCAGGCGGACGCGCACCAATACGGAAGCTTACTAAGTTACAAAGGATCGCTACACAAGCAAAAATGCGTACTTGCTACAGTATTTTATGAAATTCCACAAAAGACCCCATCAGTCCTTGAATGTTGCTTTCTACCCAGCTCACGAGGAACATATAAAAAAGGTGAATTTGAAATACATTACTTTATTTACAGTGTTCAGAATATAAAAGTTGCTTTGACTGCCAGCGACATCTATCCCCTCAACAGCGAATGTGCTTCACAATGGACGCAAAAAATGTAACTTCAAACTTCTTGGCCCCCTACACACAGTACAGTATTATTTTCTTCTAAGAATATATTTCTGAAACCCCAATTCTGCTGTTGCACGAGTGTTGAAACTAAGAGATAAGTCAATGTAGAAATAGAAATGACATCAAGCCTGCCAGTGACACCTATTCACACCACAACAATTTTACCGCAAAGGAATTTTTCGGACACCGCATTCAAATCATAAAAGCGTGGGATTTTGGGCATCAATTTATAATTTTGGAAGGCGTACCCGAAGTGGAGGATTGCAGCTGCCTCGGCGGGGGTTGGGGCTGCCGCAGCACCAAAGGCTGCTCCCTCGGCGGCGGTGAACTCCTGCGTTTCACACTGAAGTCCAACACACCGTCGGTATCTGCTACTGGCTGCGGCTGGGACACTGGGGCAACCCTGGAAAAGGCTCCCGGCTGCGGATACATTCGCGTACCCGCTGCAGACGGAGGCGGCAACGCCTGCTGCTGCTGCTGCTGCTGTGGAGGCGGCTGTTGTTGCTGTTGCTGCTGCTGCTGCTGCAGCGGCTGTTGCTGTTGTTGCTGATACTGATGCGGATCCAAACGAATCTGATGCACCTGCATCGCAGGCAAGCCCTCCTGCGGCAGCCGGAATCCCTGCTTCGGCGTCGTCGATTCACCAGCCGACGAAGACCGCTGCTCGTCGACATCCACCAACGAATCATTTCTCCTCCGGTCTTCCTCGTCGTCAGCAGCGGCGTCCCGGTCACCGCGTTCATCCGCTTCATTCCCACTGTCGTCGTCAGACTTACGTCCTCCTCCGACGTCATCACAAGTCCTCGCTGCAGGGACAGAAACCGTCGCGGCAGACGAAGTCGGGGCCCAGTTGGCAGTGGCCAGGTTTCTTGGCCCGATGCTCGTCGCCATGTTCACGATGCCCGGGCTTCCGATCCCGCGCTCTTTGCCCAAAATCGACGTCAGCGTCGGCGACAAGGCCTGATCCGGCCTCGGAGACGACGGCTTGTTCAACGTCTGGGTGATGGTTGAGTCGATGACGTCTTTCAAACGGATCTGACGTTGCTCCGTTGTTCCGATGTCCGAACCCGGTGCTGAAGAATTCGCAGATGCTTCAGTTGTTGTTGTTGTTGTTGTTGCCGCTGCTGCTGCTGCTGTAGCAGCTGGTGTACTTTCAGCAGGCCTGTCTTCATCCGCACTCACCTGAAAATAATGATTTCAAGTTATAAGATCTTCACGCATTCATCAACAGCAATAACACATACACAGTAAAATCTCATTACAACAAATAACGTTAGAACACATTTTTCAGTAAAAAGAAAACGTTGTCTCAAGTCCTGGCAGAAAGCCCATAGAGTACATGTTACAACGACCTCATTATAACAAACTTCCCAATTCCAGTACGACAAATTTTTTTCAGGAATGTTCAATAGATTCTACAGGTAGAAATTTCCCGAGTAGGCCAGACAAAGTTTGAAATTTCCCATCCTAAATATGAATGATGGAAGCTGTAATCAATGACAAGCATGCTTTCAAGTTGTTTCACACATCATCCTCTCATGAAAGAAGAGAGTTGTGCAACTGGCGGAATGCATGATTTAAGCTAATTTTCATTTCACAACTTCCCTCCGTTTTTTAAACAATAATAAAAAATCTGAAAATGCCAGAAAAGCAAGATGTAATTGATTATATGCAGGTCTGATGTGAAAATTTTTGCCAGTCATTAATTTAAAAATCCCATTCAAAAAATTATTCAGCATAACGAACTTTCTTCTCAAGTCATAAAAATATTTTTCGAAATGAAACTTTCCTGTAATAAATATCAAGTGCACCTCTTTCATCAGTACAGAATAATAATTTACCGTTGCACTGCTGCTATCACCGGCTTCTTTGGCCCCAGTCACAGCTTTCTCTTCTCGCTTCTTCTTCACAACGGACGACTCTTCTCCCGTCGTCACGACATCGGCGACAGGAGGAGACGTCGCTGATGTAGCAGCAGTAGTAGGAGTAGTAGTAGCAGTAGAAGATGAAGTGGCTGCTGCTGCCGCCACAAGTTTCCTTTTTCGAGCTCCAATCGGTAACTTGACAGCATTCGTGGCCTTCTGTTGAGCATCGCTTTTGGACGCGGAGTTCTGAGGTCGAGACGAGTCCGACGCCGACACCGTTTCGTCAGCCGAGCTCGTCGAACTACCACTTTCTTCTTCGTCTGTGACAGACGGAGGAAGCAAACCGTCTTCTTTCTGTTTCTGAAATTTCAAAACGAGAACGAAAAAATTCATCAACATTCTTCATTGTAGCAGAAAATTATGACGATGAACCCGAAAGAAAAAAAGAAAAACGCGTCTCCTAGGATTGCCTGCGAAATTTTTCTTCAAATTTATGACCTGAAAATTAAAAGGCGTACCTTTCTGTGTGCCGCCACGATGGACGACAATTCCAGTCGGTCCTTGTTGGCATTATAAAATTTCCTACAGGATTCGGCGCTTCTTCCCGCTCCTTCGCCACCCAACTCTTTCTCAATCGTCTCCCACTTCATTCCGTGTTCAGCCAACAAAGTTTTAAGCTTTTCGACATCACTTGACGGCCATTCTTCCGTCTCATCCGCGTCTTCCTGCTCAACACTGTCTCCGGCTTTCGGCGGCTCTGAAGTGGGCGGCTGCGGCTTCTTGTTCCCCGCGGCGACGACGGTGCTCGTGGTCGTCGTTGTTGCCGTCACGGTAGAATTGTCTTCTGTTCGTGCCGGCGTCGCGGTTCCTGAGGAATCTTGCGATCCAATCTTCCTAGCAATCCTGTGAGACGAGAAGGATGTTCAAATAATTTCAAATAAGGCACGAGCAAAAAATTGCATAATCCGAGGCTTTTTGCAATACGACACGACCGCTGAGAAGCGCAATTGTTCAAGAGCCAGTTCAATATCAGTTGATATCTTGAGAGTCCAAATTAAGCATTCACACCTGATTAAATACTGCAGATGTTTTCTGAACAATTTTCGACTATGACCCCGAAAGTATGGGATGAAGCTTAATTCGTGAAATAAAATAGTTGAAAAAAAAGGTTCAAATAAGGTTCCCTGGGAAGAAAAAGCAAGGAGCTAGTTGGAAAATGAAATCAAAGCAAGCAGCAATTTTTAACTATCTAAAAAATCATTTCACAGTTTTTCAATGCACGACTTTCATGACAAATTCAACAGAAGGATAAGAATAGGCTCCACAGAGAATTCCACAAGAGTAAATACTTTTTTTTTTCAATTCAAGATGAGGAATTTGTACGAACAGAAACCGGCGGGAAATATGTATCAGTTGATTTTTTTTTTTCAAACATAAAAAACGCATCAACTAATCGAATTTTTCAAACTTCAACGAATCTTCACATTACGAAGGATGGATTTCAATGCTTCATTTTTTGAATTTTTCACTCATCAACAGATTGAAGAATGACCACGACAGAGATTAAACGAAAAGGTGCGTACAAATTGTAATTCTAACTTTAGAACTCTCCCCTGATAATCAGGAAATTCCACAGTGCAATAACCGACGAACCTTCAAATAAAATTATTAAAAAATAAATACACTAAAACATACCTATTGAAACACGCGGCACAGCATTTCGTACACGAGTCGGGAATCTGGAGCTCTTTGGCCACGGCTTCGCGCACTGAAGCCGCCACTTGGTTCCAGCGCGGCGGCAAATGCCGCAGCCCTTTCACGCGCCACTTGGGCTTCGTGCACGACAACACGGGACACGTCGGCACGTGCCGCCGTCGCACCCATCGACACCGACACGCAGTGCAAATCCGCGCATTCGCCGTCACCGCCTCTGGCTTCAAGTCGTGTGCCACCAGATCCGACGGCTTGGCGGCTCTCGATTGTCCGAAGTGCTCCAGACTCGCTTCGCAAACCACACACGTGTGAGGACCGCCTTTTCCTGCAAATATAATTTGAAAAAAAAAAAAAAAAAACGTATATCAGCAACACGAAAAATTTCAACACAAAATCCACATAAGACAAATCGATATCTTTCTGAGCATAAAAAATAAAAAAGCACTGCAAATCACCCTAAAAATCATCGATTACGATCAATTTTCAACCAAAAAAAGATCACCCCACTTGCTTAAAACGTAAAATAACATTCTCAATTTTTCGGAAAAATCCAAAAAAGGATTCAAAGAAAAACATTGAAGTCGTACAGAAAGAATTACGATAGGAATTCATTAATTTAAAATTTATCAACTCCAAAATAACTTTTCAAACAATCTACGCAAGAAATTTCACGTTTTTCAGGACGGAATTATCACTAAAAATAGGCTAGATAGTCACGTTCGTTTCATCCAAATGCACTGGCAATTCGAAAGTAAGGTTCAACAGGCCTTCTGAAAGGCCTCTCGCTTATATTCTCCACAAACCTTCGTTGAGAGCAACGTCTTCATCGTCGGAGGAATCAGTGTCCTGTCGAGCAGCAGCACGAGCAGCAGCGGTGCTGTTTCTACCACCGGCGCCACCGACGCGTCGCGACTCTTTCCCACTACCGCCGCCACTGGAAATCAACGAATTGGACGCCAAGGAAACCGTACTTTCCCCGCGTTTCCCACTCTGCACTGCACTGACGGTTTCCGCATCGTTGTCGTGCTGTTGCTGTTGTTGGTGTTGTTGCTGCTGTTGTTGCTGCTGCTGCTGCTGTGCTTGATGCGAAAGGCTCTGTTCGTCCGACGCTGCATCAATCTCGTTAGCTTCGATCTTCACGACGGTTTGTTGCTGCTGTTGCTGCTGCTGTTGTTGCTGCTGTGGGCAAATCGAAAAACATTAGGTCAAGAAAGTACTGTATATTTTTTCTCAATCAAGAAAAAGGTGAATACGTCAACAGAAAAAAATTATTTTTTTACCTGACGAGCTTTTGGATACAATTTTCAGCATAAAATAATTTTAGTATCAAATAAACCATTCAACAATATCCAAATTGAGCTTATGAAACTTAAAATCACTGCAGGAAGTTTCTAAAACCTCAGCAACTTTGATAAGTTCATGTTCGTATCAAAAATGTATCGTAAATAAATTCCTAACGTTACATAACACTGACAGAATCACCCAAAAATTCAGCACATGAATACTTACATAAAACGCTTCAAATCACGAAAATACCCCAAAATCTCTTTTTGATTTCTAACCAATGTTGTCAAATCAATCAATTTTACCTGGAGTTGTTGCTGTGCTGCAGCTGCGGCGGCGGCCTGGAGAGCTGCTCTCGTCGTGACACCAGGGACCGAAACGGCACCCTCGGGTTGTTGCTGGGACCCGGTGCCACCTACTGCGCTACCCACAGCAGCTGAACCCACCTTGGCGCCGCCGCCACTGCCACCGCCACCAGCCGCCCCTCCGCCGCCACCCTGCGCTCGTGCTCTCGTCCGCACTCGTGTCTTTCTCACTAGCTGCTTGTAGTTCACCTGCATTTCAACGATTTAAAAAAATCATTAAAAACCCCGTTTCATGAGACTCAATTCAATCAACAGAGTTTATTCAATTAAAAAATTATCAAATTCTTAAAACCTTTCCGAATACCTTCAAGAAAAGACAAAAAAAATCCAGGAATATTTTAAATTACCCGTAATCAAATCTTAACCATCATTTTCACTTCAAAGGTAAAAGAATTAAAATCTTGAACAAAGTTGCAAGTGTTGGAGTACTGTAAATAAAAACTACAGGTGGACTCTCTCTGCAACAATCTTGTCCCAACGATTTTCTCAGTATAAAGAATTTTTTATGCTCCTTCGAATTTCGTTTTTGAGAGAGTCTATCTACAGTGACCAAAGCATGAGTAAAATCAACGAGCTTTCACGGATTTTAAAGAAATTCAAGTGCCTCTTACATCCGAAGGCAAACGTGTTCCCTTCCGAAAATTGGTATTAAAAAAAAAAAAAAAAATCACGGTGCCTTCTAGAAACACGACACAAAATAAACAATATTTGTCTTTCTCTCCTTTCCGGATTCACAAAACTTGCCTGCTTCTTGCTCTGATAATAAAACTGGACGCAGTCGGCGACGGACTTCCTTTCCAGACTCAGGCCAATGTAGGAGAAATTCTTGGGATGCAAAAGGTACTTTTCCCGAAAGACCTCCTTCTCCGACTCGGACCAGGTGTTGAGCAGGCGTCGTTCCTCGTACGTCTTGAGCGGATCCAACATATAGGCCGCCGTCGCATTCGTAAAGCCTCGGACACGATCCTTGAGGCTCAGCAACGCCGGCGGGATGACGGCGATCTGCCTGGCCCGCTTCTCCTCCTGCTCCTGCTCCTGCAACGAGTCCATGATCTCTTCCATGTCCGCGTCGCTCTTCACTCGGGAACCGACCCGCGAAAACCGCTCCTTATCTTCTCGCTGCTTCCGCAACTCGGGGAAAACCTGGATTTTGACATTAAAAAAAATAAATTAATGAAAATCGACTCTCAATTCAACAGAATACTGTATCAACATTTCGAGGGAAAATGCAGTTTTGGGGGTAGGGGTCAGAAAACCCCTCGAGGGGATACATTTTAAAAATTTGGAACTCTGACAACACGAAGAAACCATCCAAGCATCAAAATTCAACACACTTTTCCAAAGGAAATCTGGGCTTTTAAATTGTAAAATTTAATGAAAATCGGTTCAATTTTCACCAGAAATCACCTAATTTCTTTCTAACCTGCAGCAGAACGAATTCATTTCAATGAAAACGTCAATAATTTGAAACTTCATCCCATATAAAATGATGAGCCATTACAATATTTATTTTACCGATAAACATTATATATGATATAATTGCTTCTAGCAGCAAGTCAAAATATAAAAAATTGCAAGCACGCATAAAAAAACGAATAGGGATACTAAATATTTTGAGTATTTTTTTATTTTCTTCAGAAGGATCCACGAAATGATGTGCACGATTGAAGGAGGGCTTTATGGCGGAGACTCGGAAAAACTATGAATATAATTATCCCGAGACTTCGCGCCATTTTAAACATTACCGATTCAACTCAAGATTCCTACGCCCAGCGTTATTGCGGTCAACGTTCTTGAGCTATCGATTTTAGAGATACTTCAGACACACACGCGCTGGGTTTCCTCTCTCCTCCAGAATCTGAAGAGCTTTGAATAAATTCACCCTCTTGAATAAAAATGTGTGCGAAGATCAATTCAATGGGAAAATAAAATAGGACACAGAATGATATGAAATTCGCGGACGCTCCCTCAGGACAACATCCGCACGTCAGATTATTCGGTTTTTATTCTAAGGGATGCGAAAACGCAATCTTCATCAGCAGACTGATCAGAATGATCAGCCGTAGCAATATTTACATTTTTCTTTTCCCTTAATTCTCAAACAAAAATTACTTCCGATCCAGATTAGTTCAATTTCATAGGAATTACATCGTCAAAAAATTTCTTCGAGGCGTTCCCAATTCCTGTATAAAAACATACTTTAATTTCCCGAGGAAATACTTCGAAAATCAATTAAAAATGCTACTGGAAGAATCTCCTGATGGTTACATCACAGGAAAAAGAGGAAAAAACACTGGGATAAATAAGAATTTCTTTTCAGGAGGTCCAAATGCATGCTCTCAATCTTGATGGTTTGAATGAATTTTCAAAACGGCGATTTATGTAAGAGCCTCGTGTTTTTTCGAGAAATGTTAACCCCTTAACTTAAGCAAAGTGACTTTTGAATTCAACTTTGATCAATGTCAGCATTTATGCCACCCAGACAGTTCGCACCTTGACCTTAGGAAAAAACTTTCATCGAACAAGATGCTTGCCTCTCAATTTTTAGTTGCGTAAAATTGTTACTCCTCGAGCAGCTATTAAAAATACAAATATTAAAAATACAAATCTTTCTCCATCGAATATTTTTTTTTCAAGAAGTGCTCAGTTTTGCCCCAGAATGATCGTAGATTTTCACTAGATCTCAATCCAAATCTTCTTGAACATCAAAACAATTTCTTGTGGGACGCAGTTTGGAAACAGTTTTAGAAGGACACCTTAGCTATATTCACAGAATGTTTCATCGGATCGCCAACATCCTAATTCCAAAGTCTAAAACCGTTTCGCAATCGGATAACATTTCCAAACAAAACTGCAGGCATTCCTATCCCATCTTCAACATCATCTTTTTGTCAAGATCTCACCTTTTCGAACACGTCGCGGGATTTCGCGTCGTCACGTCGACGACGAGCATGAGCCTCCAATTTGTCGACACGGGCTTGCCAGCCTGCACCAACGTCAGCGTATTTGCGGGCCATGGCGTCGTCACGGATGTCCCGCTCGACGCGTCGACGTCGGAGACAGGCCAGCAGACGAGCCTTAAAGTCGGCGTAGTGACGAGCGTTTTCATGGTACACCGAGTTGTCCCACGGACAGTTGAACACCGGCTGCGCGAGGAACGAGGCAATCAATCAATCAAACCCATCAATTAATTATTCATCGTCACGGATATCATGCCAAAATACGCGTCAATTTTTCAGAACGTCGCCCGAAGTTTGCTCTACCTTTGCTGGGCAAAATACCATATTCAAGACAGTTTTTGACGTTCAAGAAGTGCAATTTACGAGGAACACGAGACGTCTGAGACTTCATAATTTAGTTTCGCTGTTACTGTATAGGTGTCGCCTGAATCTTTTCAAGTTTCGTCACAAATGAGTTTGCTTAATTCTAAGCCGGATTATCTTTACGTACGATGTTTAAATTCACGTCAGATTGCTTTTGTCTAGTGCAATACAATTTCGATGGAATCCTCTTTTTGGATAGTAGCTAATGCTCCACGCGACACCTACCCAGAATTTCCGCAAGCATTTTCAAGCGTTCATATTGTAAGAACCTCCAACTTATCGAACGAAATGCGGGGGAAAATAAAAAAGTCTGATCTTTAAAAGCGGAACATTATTTTTTTTTTTATTCAGTAAATGAAGAGAAAAATGCTTGCCGATTCGATCGGAGGGCCAAGAGCAGTGAGTGTACTGTGAGCTTTCATCGCCTTCTTCTTATTCTCAGAGTAGATCTTCTGACGAGTGCTCAAATGCTTCGGCTCCTTGGTGCCATCTGCGGAAATCACAGCCCCTGACTCATCCTTCTCCTTCTTCAGGTCATCCACTCCACTGCCTGTCTTCCCACTCTGCTGTTGATCAGCTTCTTCAACCTCTTGCTGAAATTTTCAAAAAAGGAAAAACAGGGAGGTTTTCACAAAATGGTTTTCTCTCGGATTACGGCTCAACTACAGGCACCCGAGTCAGGCGACATCTATACACAATATTCACGACATCAGCGACGAAACACGCTCAAGTGGAATTCTTCATTCTGTATCAGGAATATGCATGTATTTTTCACAAGTCTTCAAAAGATCCTCGGAATACAATTTTACTTATCCGACGTCGATAAAAAATCTTTGGCGCATCAAAATTCTAGGTAATTATTCATAAATTAATTTAGAGTAATTCGATAACGAAAAAATACGGGGATAAAGATAAATTAGTTCTAGTGATATAAATCAGGATACTTTAGAAATTCGTCAGAAACTGATGGAAGTCGGCAATTGCGAAAGAATAAGAATCGCTCAATCTGACAAAAGCTACTGCAATTTTAAAAAAAACCTCAAAGGAATCGGATCAGATTTGAAAAACCAATTGAGCCTTCAGAACACGATTTTCCAAATCGAATCCATCCCTCGCCTGTTTTGAACAATCGAACGGAATTCAAGAAGTTTTAATTTGATTCATGCACTAACTCGCCCTCAATTAAATAGATTTTCAAATCTTTTCAAAAAAGTATTTTCGCTACAGAAAAGACTTTTCCTTTCCATGAAGTCTGTTTCATCTGCACATAAATCAATTTTACTTCAAAATACTCGAGCTTTTGTTCCTTCATTCAATCAAGGTAATCCAAGTTCCCAACACGAACGACCTGATTCAACAAGACAAGCACGATAGAGCTAAATTATTTGCAAAATTAATCAGGCTTGAATCCAAGGCAATCTGAGCCGTCGTTTGCATTTTCTATCTCCCCACTCCGGATCTTACGACGCATGCATAAAATAAACAGCAATTTCAATTACTGTACTGAATTTTCCTATACAGTACAAAACACGCCAGCTTTCTCCCTCTCTTTAGAAAAAACAAATATGAATTTCAAAGAGGGCAAAAGAATAATTTACCAGCTTCTTTTTGAGCTTGGCGATGTGGGACTCGGCTAAAGCGATTTCTCGGTCCACTCTGGAAATCTTTTGCAGCAAAGCATCCTTGTGACTTTGCATAGGAGACTCTTCACGCAAATTCAGGCTTTCCCCGGGCACCGTGGGTGAAATTGCTTCCACTTGCGGCGAATAATGCGAATCCTGAAATTGGAAAAAGAGAGAGAGAGAAAAAAAGCAACATGAAGCCCATATTCTCGTTTTCTCTTCGGGGAAAAATTAAATTCCACGACGCGTTACATTAAATAAATTATTCTCGGCTCATTGATTCAGAGATGCACGAGGGTTGTTGCAAAAGTTGCGTCAGTGGCGGGTTTCCCTTCGCCGATGGATGAATAAATCACGGAATATTTCTCAGAGCAATATTTCCTCATTTCCCGACAACTAAAAGATCATTTCATATTAATTTCCATGCAGTCCTTTTGCTAAATAAAATTTAAAAATAATTAAAACTCTTCGTAATAAAATCTCGAAAAAATATATGCTCTGATACGGCGACTCTTTCTCGACGTTTTTGAAAATAAATGTTCCCTTCTTGAACTATAAATTCGCGCAAAAGAAAATAGTGTAATTATTAGCAAATGAATACAGTCTTGTTATCGATCCCACAGTTGTTCGTAGGAATTATATTCCAAATACGGGTTACCAAAAGAAACCCGTAAAATATCTGCAAGAACATTTTTTAAAAGCAGTCTTCGCGCATCATCTTCCCAGAAAAAAAAATGGATACATAATTTGCATGTCATCACATGGGTCCTAGAATTTTCCTCCTTTTTCCAGGGATACGAAAAAAAAATTGCAGACACGCAGCATGATGTAATCCGATCGCCTTATCTTTGTCGCAGCACAAAAAAAGAAAAAGAAACTACGTCACGATGCTTTCGCATTGTTGGGGAAAAAAAAACAAGGAAAACCCTCTCCTGAAATCCATGACAAAGCATCTGAAAGGCTTCTTCCACGAATAATAATGAAAAGAATTTAAACATTTAAATTCCCGCGAACTTTGTCACATTTCGCCTCGGAGAAAGTCAATGACCAAAGAACACGGCGTAACCGTTTCTTTCTTTCTTCTTCTTCTTCCTTTTATTTTTCATCACCTCCATCGGATTTTGAAGGTCACGACAATTTCATACTTCGCTCAGCTCTTCGAAATTCCTGGAAACTCGGGTTTCAGTATTTTTAATACTCAACACGTCCGTTGGATCAATATACATGATGGTACCCGTTCCTCGAACTTCGAACTTTCCACCGAGATAAGCTTTCATTCAAAACGTGAGTCATGGAAAAAAACCGAGACACGACGGGACGACATACGCTAGCGTCAAGCTGCATATAGATAACACAGCACTTTCTATTCCCGTCATCCAGATAGATTTTTGTCGGCGTTAGAGTTTGATATCACTTGTTCCCTGGCATATGTGCAAAGAATAACTCATTTTCTGACGAACGAAAATCCAATTAAGGTTTTAAAGTCTACAAGTACTGTACGTAAATTGCCAAATTTTAATCCAGACGGACAGAATCCAAGGGGCCTGAAAAGAATTCGTTGAAAAGAGAATTTATTCGTAGAAAATTTTCGTAACATGGTGACAGAACCCTTCGCGACCCACAAAAAAAAATGATACGAAGAGAGGAATCGTTGTAGACAAGATTCTTGTAGAAAGAGTATTTAATGTGAGACTAAAATAATAAAAGTTGAACCTCAATTTCAAGAGATCAACGAAAAATTTTCGAAGTTCGGGAGAGGCTTTGAGTTGAGGAAACAAGCATTTTCGTGGGGGAAACGAAAGAAGAATTGACGGAAATAGTAATTTGAGATATTCTAGGCCTTCGATTGCGTCCTAAATGAGTTGACAGGATGCTGAAGTTGGAGTAAGGGCTCATTTTCCCGATCATTATTTCACTTCCTTTCAAAGCACAAGTTTTTTTCCGGCGTCAATAAAATACAGTATAATCTCCAAGACTCCAAGGCTTTTCCGCTCAAACCTCTGTAACTCGAATTTTCTGAGGCCTTTTGGCTACTATTTTCTCGACTTACACGAGAAAAGCAATGAAAGAGGAACTTGATACGTTTTGAGAGGAAGTGAAAGACCAATTGTGTAAATGAACCCTTGCCTCTAAGTTCAACTCAGTCAAGAGGCAATTTCAGGACCAGAATATCAGCGTTTACAATTTCCTGCAAATTTTATATCCTCCCAGCAACAAAAATGCTTGTTTCCCAAACTTGAATTTTTTTGCTGGTCAATTGAAATTCGGCTCGAATAGATTCCACTGTAATAACGAAAAAGCCTCCAGAAAATTCGAGTTATGGAGAGGCATTCGACTCAAGAGAGGTTCGAGTTATCGAGGTTCAACTGTAAAAAGAATAAAATAGGGTGCTGAAATTTGTTTTTTTTTTCCCATGCGCATCCTTGAAAGAACTTGATGAATACTCCTTCACTAGTGCAGTTAATTACGAGGAAGTCATTAGAAAACTATTCCATTATTCTGGTCTTTTTTCCACTGCATCATGGCGTGGTTGAAACGCTCAGGATTCCAGAGCTCCAGCTGCATCCCAGCAATATAAGAGTACAGCAATCTTACCATTCTAGCTCAGGCACAAGAACCACTCCTCAGCAATCTGAGTCATGGAAAATGAAAGACCCCGTCAGTCACAGGTAGCAAGCATAAATGTGGGGGGGGGGGGGGGGGCATGAAACAAAAAATAAAAAATAAAAATAATGAAAATACTGCATGTGCTTGCTTTTCTTTCTCATGCTTCTCTCTCGTCTCCTCCCCTTTTTTTCTTTTCGAGTCCAAGTTTGAACAGCATTCATAAGTGAAGACCTTTCTGTGTACCTTTTCTTATTTTGGCCATGGAAAACCCGAAGACGACATGAGTTGAGGAGAGACGAAAGAAGGGCATGGGGCACCCAAAAAAAAAAAAACGTGTGTCTGTTGTTTACCGGGTTTCTTGGAACTTCCCTCGTTTTTTCATGTCAGAGTCGATATTTTCGAAGAAGATGTGCATTACCTGCATTTTAGCACGCAAATGTGAAAGGGCATACAATATGCCTTACGTATGCGTGTTCACTGCAGTGTTCCTGCATGCGACAATGATTTTTCTACTCATTCTATTGATGAAGACAGTGTGAGTCAGAGCCTTAGAGGTACTGTAGTAAACATGAAGTGGGGGCCAGAATTCAAACAAAGACACTACTGTACATGCCATCAGGATTCTTTGAACTTCCATAGACACATTTTTAATCAATTGTCAGGTTATACGATCAATTGGAAAAGTCTTTCAAAAATTACGCTTCAATACTTCGAACAGAAAATAACATCGCAAAAGAAAATCACGCCAAATTTGTCCAACCGACATTAGTCCCGAGTATTTTAAAATATCACACATTTTGCTATGAAGTGCAGTACATGGTTGAAGGAATAAATCCAAGAAGAGAAGCATAACAATCAGCTCCTTTTCAAAAATAGATCCGAGTAAATTTATATCAATATTTATTTTGCGTCATTATCCATTACCATAGCTCAATTTTGCTCACCAATGTAAAAAAAAGGTTCTGAAAATGTTGTACAAGTTTCCAAATCTTGAGGTATTTCTAAGAATTTAGACCATTTTTTTGAGTCCAAAGTGCCATGAATAGAATTTTCCGCGTGTAGAATTTTGCCTCACTGTATGCATCATGTGTCACTACATATACTGTACTGTACTGTACATCCAAATTTTGAAAATATTTTATGAAAAATCGTAATTACTCTGGGATTCTATGCATATCCACAGGTTTTACATGTTTATTGCATGCAAAAACAGGATTCATATCTCAATTCATCCCACCTGGAAAATGATTGTACACTAGGTAGTGGACATGTATCAAAATAGGACAACGCAGGACAGAAAATAAAACCTACGTTCCCCATAGCTTCAGGTCCAAGTTTGAACTACTCCAACACAATCTTTTATTTCCAAGTACTGTAAATACATGTTCGCATGCCTCAAAAAATGTGTGTGTGCATCAGAGCAGCAGCAGCAGCAGTAGTAGAAATGAATACAGTCCATACATATATTTATTTATGCTGCTGTGGTTATGGTAGTGGTGGTGCTTGTTACTTTTTTTCCTCCCCTCTCTTTTTTCATTCCCCCCCCACCTTCCTCTTTCTGCTCCTTGCTGCTGCTGCATGCGTTCAGATGTGCGGCCGGATAACCTAGCCAGGCTTCCCAGCCCGCGACCCTCCCCGCCGTCCAGCGTTGCCGATACTCCACTCACCGACAGCGCGTCACCACACTGGAAACCCTCCCCCCTCCCCCCACTCGCGCCAGAGCTGGGACCTTTTTCTTTCCCCATGTATGCAGTATTCACAATATGTATCTCCCGCCTGCTCCATCCATCCCTCATTTTCCACCTCCCCCCCCCCCCTATTTTAATACGCCGGGCTTGTACCGGTGTCAACGCGCCACTAGTGGCCCTGAGATGAAACGACTCAGAAGAAAATAAGTCGAGAGCACAGGGCTTCTAATTAATTGGTTTCGCAAGTGAAGTGCACCGTTTCCTCCTCCTCCTCCTCATCCTTAGTTTTATTTATTTTTTATATAAGTAGGCCCTCCATCTTGGTACTGTACCTATTTTCAGAAATCCAATCTAATCCGAAGCATAATCCCCCCCCCCCGTCCAAAACCACCAAGACATCCATTCTTCACAAGAGTGCACTCTTGCTGAATCCCTTGGGGGTTCCCTGCAGATGATTCTGAACATGCCACAATGTTTTCATTTAAATGCCCCAATTGCCAAGCTTATTCACTCATTTTTTGGCCCAGACAAATCACATACAGTACACATATTTGAACCAGTATAAGATGCCACGGGTGCTCTCCTTTTGGTCTTGCAGATAAAATAAAAAAAATTATGTTTTGATTTTGCTAAATTAAGGTCATCCCCTTTGAACAAAATTCAGCATTGGGCCTCAAAATGGTTGAATAGACTTATCTAGTTGTTATTCGGAAGTTTGCGTCGGTCCGATGCAATTTCCCCACAGATGAAACGAACCATTAGACAGAAAATTAAATTGAAGATCAGACGCACCCTGGCAAATTTTGCAGGCACAAAAAAAAAGCGCGTGCTGAATTAAATTAAAAGAAATACAAATGGCAAAGTTTTATTCAAGGAGAAAAAACAGTTTTCTCTCTCTCTCCCTATGTTCTGTTTAAAGTCGTCAACATTGAGAGTAAATGAGCAGACTTGAGGGTAAATGAGGTCTAATAGGATAGGTTGAACAGGTTTTCTTTTCTCCAATGCATAATTGGAAGTCGGGCATGAATATCCCGTCCTGATGGCGCTTCCCAGCAATTACCATACTAATGAAACAACGCACCACGCTTAGGCAGCCCTTTCACGCTTCATGCTGAATATACCAGAATATTTTTTTTTTACAATTTTAAGGGAGAGAAATGAATATGCGGCTTTAAATAAATAAAAGCGTTGAATTTCGTCAATTAACTTTCCCCCAGCTCAAATATACTGTACATTATCATTATTTTTGGGAAGACATTCCACGAGTTGTACATTGCTCGATTATTTTCAGAACTCAACTTTGAACTTTAAAGAAAAAGTCATTCCGTGCATCAAATGTTTAGCCTTTGCACGAATAAACAGTGCGGCCTGTAATGAAGTAATCAAGGTGAAATGACGCATGAAAAACATTGAAAGAATAAATTTCAAAAATGCAGCATTGCCCTTTTAATAAAATTTAAGACAAAATTCCAAGAGGTCTACGACTTCCCTCACATTTCCTTTCACTCTGACTCACCTGTAAACCTCAAGGAGTCCGAAATCAGAGAAGTGTTAGAAGTCGAATAATTGTATTTAAAACCAACCAAATAATGGAACATGCCTTTTTAAAACTTGAAACAACGCTAATTGGGAAAATCCATACATCTAAGAAACGAAATTCTTATTCGTCTTATTTGCAAATCACGTACCATGGAGTGTTCACGTGATTATATGCTCAATGTCAAAATTCATATCCAGCACCTGGCGCCTTCCACAACAGAAAGTAGGAAATGGAGGCCATTGTAAGGATTGTTCATTAACTTTTTTCCCCCGCCGGAATCCGGTTGTGTAATGCGAAAATTCCTAGCGCGCCAAAGCATTCTCCCTTTTTTTTTTTTCTTAACATTCACTCCATCTTAGACGACGTACATACTGGAAGAGTGGATATATTCAATGTCAACTTTCCGACACAAAACATCCAGCGGGACATGGCGTAGTAGTAATGGTGCCTTCGCCTCACAAAATCCACCCCAACAACAACCAAAAAAAATGCAGGAAATGGGCGCAGAACCATTGGACCGAGTTTTCCTTTAAAACGCGCGGCATTGATCTCATTGAACTAGCCTGTGTGTAAGGATGTCTGAAATTCCATGCGGCTCCAAGGCATTTTCATTCCTTTTTTTCCCCCCTTCTTCCATTTTTCCTTCCCCACCACATCTGATTCGGGGGTGTACGTATTTATACATATATATATATATATATATATATATATATATGGAGTCCGGTGTAAGGGCGCCCATGTTACACCACCGCGTGAGAAGCGGGGCGGGTTCCCCCACTCCTCCTCCTCCTCTCCTCTTATTATTATTCTTCTTCTTCCTCGCGAATTATTGCTGGACCGGATTCCACACACACACACACACACACACGCACACACACGGCCTCGGCTTGCTGCTTCAAACAACAAGCCCTGGAGCTAAAGTTTCAACGAGGGCCGCCATGTCATCGACGCGCTGTCGAAGAGTGGAGACCGGCAACGGAGCGCTCCACCGGATCACAGCCGGGTCCGACCAACTGTCTCACCCCCTCTCTCTCTCTCTCCCTCTCTCTCCTACATAGTCGACCGCTACTGCGTGAAGGACAAAAGCCCGGCTGCACAATAGCCCCCCAGTTCCAAGAAAGAGGAACATCTCACTTTTTTTTTTTTTTTACATGCATTCTTCTTCTTTTTTTTTATTAGCATGGACGACATTTCCTTTGTTCCACAATCCGATTTGAGACTCCTTGCATGGGGCGATGAAATAAAAATAGAAGAATTAAAAATATTACCACACATTTGTCTAGGCTGGAAAGGTTTTAAAAGCCTGTTGGCTCTGCGCAATCGAAATCAACTTCACAGGATGAATAATACCGGTGGAATCTCTTTACAACAACTTTCTCCGTAAAATGAATTTTTGCTTGGTCCCATAAGGTTCTCTACAACCAAACGCCATCTACAACAATTTTTTTCAGGCCCCTTGAATTTCTTAGTAGAGAGAGAGAGTCCACCTATAGTTACAATATAAAAAAGAGGGCCAAAATAGCCAGAAAATATAGCACTTGACAAATGATATGGAAAGGCTGCTATCATACGTGGAGTCAAGATAATGAGAGACGAATCTGCAATTCAAGTCATCGAATTGTGATAGGATAGTGAAGAACATCAAAGAAATGGCATCTAAGCCTTATATTCCTTTCTCCATGTTTCAAGTTCATAGCTGTTCTTTGCATAAATCTTTAATTTGCAGGCACAATCCCCTCTGAAGTCAAAAATTAACACAGTTGTCCTGGAAAATGCATACACCTAAAAATAGGTGGAAGAGAAAGCCTGATGGAAAAAGAGGGATAATTGCCAAAACATGTATTTTTTTTCTTCTTAAACTGCGTTATTTTGAAAATGTCTACCAGAGCAAACTCACAGAATAAAAATGTGAAGCTCTCCAGACAACAGTTGACGGAGGAAAATCCCAAGTATTATTAAGGACCAAATACCAATGGAAACTTCCGGTCCATCATTCACAGAATATTTGGGGAATACTGCCTTATAAGTCAGATTCACCAGTGATGTGGGAAGCAGCAAAAAAGCTCAGATGAGCCAAGAAATTTTGAATGACTGAATAAGTGAAGAGTTTGAACCTAGCATGAAGAATTTCCTCACTCTCAAGATTTTTTTTTATACATATCATTCTTCTGAGAAGAGAATTCATTCATCAAACTGCTTGGGATAGGGTATCAAAATAACCCCTGCATACTTCAAAGGAAACAACTCTTCCCTTTTTTAAATTATCAGAAAAAAAACCAACCAAATTGCTGAAGAATCAAAGGCATTTGTAATCAGGCAAGAAATACCGCAAACAGCAAGTCTCTTCAACATGGGAAAGGATGAAAAGGCAGATGTGGGGGGGGGGGGGATTCTATGTGAGAGCACAATGAATTGACTATGGAACCCTTCATAGAATCCAGACAACAGAGAACAAACAAAAGACATGGAGAATCTTTCTTGGCAGAAGGAGGCAATCGCCAGTAAAAGCAATCATCCAAGGAATCATATTACATTGGGGAAAAGTACAAAAGGCATTCTTGGAATGGCACTTTGAATCTGCTCATGCTAATAAAATGACAGCATTTTTCAATGAAACTGACAGAAACTACTTTACAACCAGCTTGAAGAATAAGATACTGTACATCCCACCCTTGAGGCATGGATACACTTTCTTCCCCTTTGCAAACCAAATGCAAAACTTTGAATAGGAATGAGAAGCTTCTTGGCAAACTACAACTGCCTGGGAAGAATGGACAGATCTGAAATATGTTTCTGTTTCTTCAGTGATTCTACAAAAATAAAAATAAATCAACAAATATGTGTGCACAATAGGGCAGATTTACTTCCATGAATTTTGGCTTGTAACAAAATTAATCTAGTTGATTTTTTTTATGGAGCACAATGGCTTGAAAGAAATTCAGACAGTTTTCCCTTTGGATCCAATCCCACGCATCCCTGGAAATGGATTCTCCTTGTTTGGTGAATTGTCAAGCGACATGATTAAAAATTGACAACAGAAAGACCAACAACATCCCCTGACCGAGTCTTCCATGGGACCTTCATTTTTAATAGGCGTTTTTCTTGTCACAGAAGTTCAGGGCATACAATACATTCTACCAGCGCACTTATTTTTTTTTCCCCAAAAAAAAGATCGAAGATGCAAAGAGTGGAACCCTCCAGTCACGCATGCACAGGGAGCGGTATTTTGCCAAGTAGTATTTATGAGAGCATCCAGCCGTTACCACTATTATCCCTATTTTTATTTCTATGACAGAACTCGCGCAAATTTTGATCCTTTCTTTCTCTTTTTATCTTCCAACACCTGCCCCAATGCTTCCCCTACCGATTTTCGTTCCTCCGGATGTTCTTGACTTCTCAATGCCTCCTCTCTCTCTTCCCGAAATTATTAACCTCCATTTTTTTTTATCGTACAGTACTGTAAAACAATCGTCACTGCGAATCATGAATATTAAATTGACGCAACCGAATGAAGCCAGGGAAAGTTGTCCGGATCGAATGAGAGAGAGAAAAAAAAAGAAGAGGGATCCATAGAAACAGGGAGAATTGTTTTTGTATGAAGAAAATAAAAGCTTCAGGAAGCAAGCAAAGGCAGCAGACAGGGGCCATGGAAGGACAGAGACACACAGCAACATCATCGTAGTATACTGAAAGTCCCGGGACATGAGATATTTTGATCAGAAACATGAGTATCTCCCATTTTGCAGAAACCAGAATTGAAACATCACTGGTATTACCAATATAATGTGCATACATCTTACTTCGAGTTGGCTTTACAGTCAAAGCGACTCATTCCCACCTCAGAATACTGTAATCATATTCAGTGCGATGCCCTGTTCACATGAAAAGTGAAAATTCGAAAAACTGGCATCAACATTTGAACAGCGTATTTTCTTCACTAAATGTTTCCCCCCATTGCTGACTAGGGTATTCCCTCAATTCAGCTGTATTTCTATACGGTATTCACGAATAACAGTAGATCTGCCTCATTAACCAAAAAATGTATTTATATTTTGTATGGATCATGTCACCAGCAGGCGTCTGGCGCAAGTTAATTGAGAAACGGCGCGAGTCCCACAGGTGAGACACACACACAGACACAGCCATGTTTTTTCCCCCTTTTTCCCCCCTTCCCTGTCCCTCCACTTTTACCCTCCGCAGCAGTCCCGGGGCCTGCAGCACCAGCACCGCATTTGTTTCCTTCATAGCACGGGAAGCCAGAAGAGAAGGGCATACGGAAAGAAGCAGAAAAATAAGGAGGAAGATACACACGACGAGGATAGGGAGAGGGGTGGAATGTGTACGAAAACAGTAGAGACTAGGACAGAGCGGAGGGGGAAGGGGAGAATAGAAAAGGGGAGAAATAAAATATAAAAGAATAGGAGTGGGGGGGGGGGGAGGAGGAGAGGGCATGTGTATGTATGCGTGCGTGTGTGTTTGTACCTGGAGAAGTTTCAATGCAACGATAAGCGCATCGAAGACTGGAGACCGGCAACGCTGGAATTCCCCCAGGAACGGAACCAACGGCGCGGCGTTTCATCGCATGTTTTTTTTTCTTTCGATTCCTTATTACTTCTTAACCTATCTTTCTTTCTTTCTTTCTTGCTCTCTTCCCTTTCCTACAGAGCTCGTTATATTCCTTTTCCCGAATATCCCCCATATTTTTTTTTCAATCTTTTTTTTTTCGTGTCTCCTCTTTTTTTTCTCTGTATTCGATCCCCCCACGTCTCTTTACCAAATCTTCCACCACCGCGGAACTATGTAACTCTTTATCCGGGGGGCCCCCGTGTTTATATTTAGCGAGAGGACCACTTTTTTTCCTCATTCTCTTTCTCTCTCTCTCTCTCTGTCCACCAATTTTCAATGGCAGCATTTCTCAGCTTCCGTTCGTGATGCCCTGACATTTGGAAAATTCGTGTTCCTATTGCCTTTCCGCCCATAACGGAACTCCAGTGCAGGTGGTTCCAATGTGGCTCCAGTTTCTGTCACCAAGTTGAAACCGAATACTGTATTTCATGATCGCGCCACGAACATGTATTTTTCGTGTGTGTGTGTGTGTGAATCGGTTCAACATACACCCGTGGCATCCTGGCCTCAAGCAGAACTGTTCGTTCGTTGGTTCTGTGCGTGCGACCACGTTTCTTAGAGAAAGAGACCATGTTATTTATTCTTCAAGTTGTTTTATTTTTGGCTTCATCGTAAGCCCGATCGGAAAAAGGGGAACACTCTAGTGGTTCCAAGCGGCTCTTGTTTCTGTCACCAAGTTGAAACTGAATACGTATTGCGCCACAGCCGTGTTCTCGTCGTATTTAATCAAACCCCGTCAATTCTAAATTAAAATTCAACAATGGGATCGATTCCTTTTGCTACTCTACAATATTTGCTGCACAAAATCCACATCCGAATCTTAGGAATACTTGGATTTTTCTTTCAGAGACTGGAATATTATAGTGAGGCCTTTCGCTATTAATGTATGGTAATTTATATCAGAGAATTCCTTTTTTATTTTTTGGAGGTTGATTTTGCTGGGACAAATTTATTTTCAAGTCTACTACCTTGAGCATTCAAGTATTCATCTCTCTCAACCCATTGGTCTGAACAATTTGAGGTCTTCAGATTTCAGAACACATCAAAGCATGCTAAAATGCTCGTAAATGAGAGACAGGATTGATCCTCGTTTCATTTGCAAAATTTTGCAAACTGTTGCTCAAAACTTTGACTGGGGGTTGGGGGGCTCACTCTGAAGTCAAAATGCACATCAGAGCGCCACCGAATTTTGAAAATTTATTGAATATGAGACATGATGAATTATAAGACGCAAATTAACTCGACTATCAAATTTTAGCACAAAAAATTTTCGCATTGGAGTGAATACGACATTTTCTGTGTCAGTCGGATAATCAAACAATACCTTGTGACAACCAAACTTGACTGTGTGTCCATTACTGTTCTGTACAGTTCCTGCTAATCTTAGGCTGCATTGAATGTCAATAGGATACATATTCAAAAATAAAAAGCAATCATGTTCCACTGGTAACTCGGGACACAAAAGAGCCTTTCAAAATTGAGTAAATGTTTTAAATTCTTACTCATCACCTCAACATTCATACCATGTATGGAAGTATATGTGCCCTGTTTTCCAAGTGTGTACTGTATATGCTTCTTAGACGGGACACATTTTTGTCCATCAGTTTCTCTGGCCCCCATCAATTACTCATTCCCCAGTTTTCTTCTACAAACTGTTGGGTACAAGAAGAGTTGAACCGGAACGTTATCAGATCTACTGGCGGGGGAAAGAACCTAACCTCATCAACCCAACTATGTTCCTTGCATCCAAAATGCCTCCGGGTTCCGCCTTGCCCCATTCTTTCATTTAATTTTTATTTCGTCAAAAACCCGATGGTAATCTGGCGAGAATAAGAACGCATTCTTTTCCTCCCCAACCGCAGACGGGGGGGATCCAATCTGTGGTTTCAGAGAAAAAGAGGATCGTCGTGGCCAAGATGGGATTCAGAAGAGTACCTCATAAAACCAAGCCCAGGCTTGTCCATCATCAAGTGCTGATGAGCCCACACTGACTAACCTTGTTCTGCCCACATGGCATGATTCATTTTATCACCCTTTCTTCCAGGTCCACACTACAGACTTTTTTTTTTTTTCTTGTCTCATATCTTCCCTTAAGAAAATACCTGTTCGTGCCTCAAGTGCGTTCAACTTAATTAACACACACCGACTCTATATTTATTATTATCCACATAGAATGTTATTTTACTGTACCCCAGGACGACAGGTTCTTCATTCTGTACACATTCAGTAAACGAGGGTTGTCCCAGTTGGACGCGATTTTTTTTTCGGATTTTTAAAATTTATTTTCAATTTACGTCATGATGACAAGTGAAAACTTGCCAGTTACAGCCAGAGTTCCCCACCCATGTCACAGGGTACCAAAAATTTGTCAGGCTAGCCAAAAATATACCTTTTCTAGATTTTACAATAAAAAATCAATGTTTTTATTCTAGCTGGTAGAAGAAAATTTTGGTGTTTTGTGACCTGGGTGGAGAAATCCGGCTGTAAATGGAAAATTTTCATTTTTCATCATGCAGAAAATGTAAAAAAAAAAATTATCTGGAAAAATCCCAGAACATCAGAAAATCATTGGATATGTCCTGATTTTTTTTATTATCACATCTACTTTAAAAATTATCAGAGGTTGCGATGAATTTATCTATTTATAAATAGATAAATACCGTTTTTATCGATTTATAAATAGATGAATATTTAACCATTTATAGTGGGGCCCTAACAATTGGATGCTTCAAAATCGGGACAATGTCTCAAGATACGGACCCTTCGAAAAAAATCTGTACCAGGAAAAATACCTACTGTGTATTATTTTCTAAAATGTGATACAGTATTTTTTCAAACAAATTCACCTATTTTCATTGACAAACAGTGGGAATAAATCTTATTAGAAATGCAACAAGATAACAGTGGGTAACCATTGTAATCATGGGGTTCCTCTGAATCAAATGGGACAAGAATCTAACCAAGTCTAAAAAGGTTCAAGTCATGAAAAAATCGTCAGCACATTCCAGAGGCAGTTTTCTAGGACTATAACAATTACCGTACCGTACAGTACTTTTTTTTTGCCTAGATTTTCTGTGAGTCACAATCCCCCTCAAGCCCCTTCCGAAAAAAAAAACCAGAACCCCCCCAGCAAAATCAATAGAAAACTTATGTCCCAAGACGTCAAACTCACCGATTGGTTATGCAGCATAGTTGGTGTCCCACCGCCGCCTCCACCACCAGCACCACCACTGTCATTGGCAGCGGATCCAGTGCAAACACTGGCACTAGTAGACATGGTGTAAGACAGCGGCTGTTGGGACGCCGTCGACATGGACGCCGTTGACATGGACGCCGAAGACATGGACGCCGAAGACATTGACACTGATGTTGAATGCATTTGCTGTTGCATCTGCTGCTGCTGTTGTTGTTGTTGTTGCTGCTGCTGCTGCTGTTGTTGTTGTTGATGATGTTGCTGCTGCTGCTGTTGTTGTTGTTGTAATTGTTGTTGTTGGTGCTGATGAAGATGCTGTTGTTGTTGCTGCTGTTGTTGTTGTTGTTGTTGCTGCTGGTGATGATGTTGATGGCCATCATGGCCCATAGATCCCGGCCACACTTCCACATGCAGCGGGTTCCTGAGCTCTGGCCTAGCTGCAGACAGCTCGAGGGCGCCACTGCCCGGCGGCATGCCGCCTCCCGTCCCCGAAGGTGACATCGGGGTGAAGTTGGACAAGCGGGGCTTCTTGCTGGCGGGTTGCAAACCCACACTTCCACCTGTTTTATTTAAAAAAAAAAAAAAGAGAGAGAGAGAGAGGACGAAATGCAAATGACGACTTGAGTCAGGTTTTTGCCTGGAATGTGANTTTGCAAGAAATGAAAAAAAAAAAAAAAAAAAAAAAAAAAAAAAAAACGCATGGAATTCCACCCGTGCTGGTTCTCAACTGTTGCTATGTGAAGACTTTCCTAACTTGAAGACCTTCCCCTTGAAACCTCGTATGATTTCGAGGTGGCCTCAAAGCAATTATTCAGGGTACCCAAAATGAACTCCCTTTAATTGGATTGCTCTTCAGCAATAAAAATTGTAACTCGATGCTTTCCAAAAGAGAGTGGATGACTGACCAACTGCGCAAAATGTATCCTTGTCTTAAAATGCAGCCTACTGTCACATAATTCATCCAGCAGTTGAAAGGCGAGAAATCCAGAATCTCACCAATTTTTCATTTTTTTCGCACTCCCACGCCCTTAGCAAAAATGCTGATTTTCCAAACTGGAAAACTCCCCGATTCAATTTTTTTGCGGATCCCTCAAAGTTCAGCTTGAAGAGGATTGATGTAAAAATTTAAAAAATATATATGTAAAACCCAGGAAAATAAATTACTCAAGGAGTTCCAGCACGAGGGTGGATTCGCGAGTCGAAAAGATCGAGAACTTCTGGGATGAATACAAATGCGCCGCTGCGTAATTTTTAGCGACCATTTTGATTAATCGAACAGAAGAAAGACATCAACTCATCCATTGAAGAATAATTCAAGGAGAAAACGAAGATTATAAAAAAATATACGGAAATAAATACAACCCGCAAAATAATTTCCTCAGCGAGAAGAAATGGCACAATTCTAGGCAAAATTACGCGATTGAAAAATCGCCCAATTGCGTGCGGCTCAAGTGAAAAAATAAAATAAAAATTTACTCCACGAATCCAATCGACATTTCCCAATCAATTTCCCCCTACAGACATCAGAAAAACATTCAAGAAATAGAAATGACTCTCACATTACAAAAACAATTTCCGACATAATGCCTTCAAATCTTCCCAGATTAAAAAATAATTTAATAATCAAAAAATCATTTCCAACTTAATGCATTTAAAAATGTATAACCGTCAGAAAGAAAAAAAAAAAAAGCAAATCCTCACCAGTCACGCCAGGCGGAGAAGCCATGCCGCCATTGTTGCCGGGAGCGGCGCTGCCGTTGCCGTGAAGCGCCGCCGCCGACGACGGCATCGTCAAATGCAGTCCCGACGGCGCCGTCGACGACGGTTGCAGTCGAAGGTCCGACGCCGACGAAGAATTCGGCGGCAGACCCCAAACACTCGTTCCGATCACCGGCGCCTGTGCGTACGGGTGCATCACCAACCCGTCCCTCTCAGGGTAACCGCTGAAAATACAAATACAAACAATAATGATGAAGACGAGATTTCAAAAACACACTACTCAATCAGTGCTCCGTGGAGCCCCTCGTGAACCTTACATGGGGCTCCGCGAATGCCCGCGTTAAAAAGTTGAGTACAGGATGAAATTGCGACAATTACGAAATGAGGAAGTAACGCCTAGAAAAAAATTGGCAAAATTTTAGACATAGACGTTGTACATAGAAATTTTAGATATAAAGGATACACGTGGAATTAAAAAAAGAACCCACCACGCGACAAAATTCAAGGGACCATAATAAATTCATAGTACAGTAGATTCAATTTCGCTGAAGACGCTAAATGTAAGAAAGTAATCAAGAAAATGTATTTTGTTTTCATTGACGAGTCCAACGTGAATTAAATCGTGCCAACGTTCAATAAATCCGACTCCCCCAAAATGGACTTGACCATGACTCGTATCGAAAATTCCTCAAAGAAAACTTGACCTCATATTTTTTCTCGCTTTGTTTCTTCCTCTAAATCCTTAACGGACCACCTGGGAATAATTTTCTGCGAGGTCAAGTTGGTTCAAGTCCTTCGTCTCCACAATTCAAGACTCTTCCGAAAAAAAAAATATGCATGAACTTGACTCGACTAGCTTCCTCCATTGGGGCTTCAAATTTATAGCCATGCTGAGATTCCAGAGAGAGAAAATAATAATACGCATAATTCTCAATGATTTCGTTGATTTTCCACAAACTGGTGGATCAATTCAAGCATCGAAATTTTCAGAAACTAATGCATTATTTTTGTTTCATAAGGAGGCGAGGAACAGGAACAAAAATGCTTCATCGCAATCAAAATAATAATTTCTTTTAACCCTTCCACACAAAAAAGAATTGAAGGAACTTTCTGACGAGATTCCAGAAGCATCTCTCCAACGGAACAGTTTCATATTTGAAGGCGAGCGAAACTAGGACAAATTTGCAAATGAAAAACCCGTTCCTCGCTTTTAACATTTTATGAGACAACTGTTCCGCTGTTTTAAATACCCCTGCCAGTAAAATCATAAAATCAGTACTGTACTATAAAAATCAGACATGTACTCATTGCAGGAATATACCTGACGTGGAAAAGAGAACGTCAGGGTAAGTGAGACCCCGAGATGCGGACGTAATTGGTGCATCAAGAGTGTCCCTAAGTTGAGTCTCAGTTTCCCTTAGACTTACA